TCTTCGACAGTCACACCCTCGTTCAACCCTGAATTCAAACGAAAGGCAACCCTTTGTCAATCGAAAAGAAGCCACTGGACAAGGTAACAAGCGACTTCCAGGCCGATGGGAAAATATTTGCTGTAAGGGGAACGCCCGCGAGGAACACGTCCCTAGGGATTTTAAATACGGTCCAGACTGAAAGCACCGGACAAACCCCGGGAACTCGGTCATATCCGCGTTTCTAGTCGATCGTTCAAAGTTCGTTGTGTGATGCTTTCTTGGGGCTACCATGGTTGACAGATTCGACTTTTTATTGATAGGTTGGTAAAAGATTTAGGGTGGAGGAATTTTTGTGTCTGGGAGATTGATTGGTTCGTTTGGCACGCGATTTAGCGATTTAGCAGATATAGTGATTTATACTTTAGACAGTTTGTTGTTATCCCTATGAATGCATAAACATCTAGTCGCCTGTTCAGTAGCGCCTAGTTCACAATCATCCTTACATTCTGGGGAATTTCCTGTCAGTAATTGTCGCTGTAATCGTCTAAGCAATTTGATATCCTAATAAGACCGATGAACGAGACATTCGTTGAATTCTTTGGCCATTTATGTGGAGCGTGAAAGAAGAGGAAACGAGGACAACGCTCGTTGAGATGGTAAAATCTCCCTTTCGTCTTGTTTCGTATTTTCAGCTATGTCGTATTGAAGTTTTTCTGTTTGATCACAGAAAGAATTGCGTTTGTTACCGAATTTAATCGTTACGTGGCGCTTGGATCGCTGCATCAACGGGACCGATAAATGCAGCCCGCCCCGGGCATTCGTGGAATAATTGGATCGGTTTTTGCAATTGTGAATCACGGCCCTCGACAATCAGAGGAACAAGACTTCTTCTCTTCCGTCCACGCGACTTTTCCGGACCAGATACCACGGTGTGCTGCCTTATCTTCAGAGAATGCCACTCTTTTCCTTCGCGTAGTCTCGTGTCATCCTTTCTTTGTCCTTTCTTCCCTCGTAACCTTTGTTTAGGCCTTTGAAGACGGAAATAAAAAACCATGAGAAAGACGAAAGGTGTATTCTTTGTCTTGTGGATATCTTAGATATTGAGAATATCGTTGGACGTGTATTAAAAAGCAATTAATGCGATTTGTTTGGAATTTTTAGAAAATTATCATTTTTTTTAGTACCAACAATCGGTAAAGTGGCTAACGTAATTAAAGAGTATTCCAATTTAATTTTAACAATTTTTCGATGGTTCTTAGTACCTTTTGGCATTTTAAGGTTGTTGAATTGAGCTCGTTAATGACGGTATACTATCTTATCGACGGAATCAAAGGAAAGTGTTCGAAATCCATTCCGATGAAATTTTTCTCCGTTACAAAGTAAGAGCAATAATTATACGCTTTGCGAATTGGAGAATCCTCGAGCAGAAATTGTTGAAGAATAACAGTCGTCGAAAGAAAAGAGAGAAAGTTGACGGACTCGGCTTTAGATTAAAGTGTCTTGCATTTACGCAGACGTCGAGATTCCCTCTTTTTCTCTGTTCTGGAACACCTAACAATGATTCTTTCTCTTGCTGCGAGAGGAGATAATTCTCTTTGTTGCACGGTATGCCCTTAATGTCGGCCGATTTCGCAGTTAATGCCAGTCGCGTTTAAAAGTAATGGGGCTAAAAAAGTCGAGGAAAATGAAATCGAAGCGTGCCACGAGATAAACGACAGGAACGGTTCTTTATTCTTTTATTTCTGTTGTAATTTCTGGAAAACTATCTCTCTCCCCCTCCCCCTTCTCTCTTCCTCTCACAGAAAGACTGACTAACGACGAGTCCACGAACTATATAAATTGATATCCAAACTGGTTTGTACGTGGATTATGTAATTGTAATAGCTCGTGTCTCGCGAAAATCTACGACCATAAATATTTTCATGGTAAAACAAATTTTCTAAATTAAATCATTTAAAAATTTACTCACAAATTTACTGAATTACACGCTTGAAAAATTTCTTGGAACTTAAATTATTCCCTGCAAAAAGAATGGCGACTTAAGACTTATGAAATATTATAGATTTAAGTATTACATGAATAAATAAATGTGACAATGTTAATTTCTTTGTTTCTGACGAGAAGGTTGTTATTTTTAAGGGCATGCTAGGTCTTCGAAAAAATAACGACCTTTTTAACCTCATGTAACGTTAATGCGAAGATATTGAACGTATATTCAACGAGCATATTGTTTTAGAATATTTTCTATCAACGTTTACAATTAATTTGCAAGATATTTTCTCATTTTCCGAAATTTCCTCTGGGAACAAGCGATTATTCATACGTTGGTAAATTATTAATATACGAAATTGATTCAAAATATCAAAACAGACGGATCGATAATTTATTCCACGTGAATCAAGTAACATAAATTCTAGAAGCTAAGGTATATAATATAATAGTAATTACCATTCGCGTACTTTAATTACCGGGTCAAATAATTACAAATTTATTGTCGAATTTCCTGAGGAAATTATATTCCTCGTAACGTTTCTATTTTTATAGTGCAAGTTCGTCACAGTATTTCTCGAACGTCCTAATTTTTATTGGCGACAAGATATTGACACTTGCGTCGAAAAATCAAGCTTTCTCGTGATATACGACTTTAAGCGCTTTACGCCGTTTTTCATAAACCTGAAAAATTTAGAAAAATTGAGCAATTCGCCTACCATGCAAACGTATACAATTGTACTTATTATATAATAATTATTATACATTTATTATATATTAAATTATAATATATAATTGTACTTAACTTGGTATTTATTTTTGATAATTAATTTTGATAAGCAAGTACGAGTGAAGAAATGATTTTGGGAAGAGGTTCGCGTGCTATGTAACACGGACGATCGCGTGGAAAACGCGAGCGCGGAAAAACGCGACGTTTCATCAGTATCAGTGGAAGGTTAAAAGGCAATTCGATGGAATTGTTCTAGCGTTGCTGGGAACAGTGAGCAAACACGCGTGAGAATGGCTTCACGTTCCCAACGTTGAACGATTCATACGACTATCGCTGTCACGCTGCAGTTTTTCCCCTTTCAATCTACGAGAATTTGTTAGGTCTCTTGCCCACTTGCAACTAGTTGCGCAACTTGCCGAGTATCGCCACTGAAGTAAAACAGTATTTGGGCAGTCACAGCCTCGTAGGTGTGTGTGTTTGTAGGTGCAGAAACCATGAAATCTGACACCTTCGCTTCGGAGAGATTATACAATGAAATTTTATCTGGACGTCGAATAGAAATCTGTATTCTCACATGTAAATGTGTAGCGGCACTTGACAACAGCTTTGATCGGACAATAACAGCGTCTTTGGTTACAAACGTTCGAGACTCGGGTTCAAATCCCGGTGCCCGTAGTCCGATTCTTCTTCCGTGACATCTTAATGAGAAGAAAGCAGCAGTACTCCACTAGCGACATCTACAACCAGCATCAGCACTATCGCCGACTACTATCGCATCTCAAATGTTTTTTCCTGCAACATTATCAATCACAGTTTAGACAGAAGAATCGACTAATCAAATAATTTGTTCGGTACTGGACGGTAGTTTTAATATTGAGACGCTTCAAACGCGCAATTTCGAACGATGTGAATATATAAAAATAAACTGGTCCTTCCAGTATTATTAACACCCCTAGTTTTACGCTTCACGAATGTCTCTGACAAAAACGCTCTCATAATTCGAGACCGCATGAATATTAGGTACAAATCGAATCTCGTAAGAGGCAGGAAAAGCAAGGGTGGAGTTTTGGAGGGTCAGCGAATGGCGAACCGCATGTATAAAGAACTTAATGGCTCGGTGAAGAGCTCTCATAGTCCGTTAATAAGATCAAGGGAGAATTGTATTACGTGTGAAATTAGCATCGCGACATTCATACGATGTTGCTCATTCCCAAAAGTCGAAATCTGTCTCGTTACTTCTTAAAAATTAATAATAATTTGCATAAACATTCACAGTCTGCTAACTAGCATCAATTTGTGTTGCCAGGCACGGTAGCGTTGAGGATGCTGGAGCTGGTGGTCCCCCAGCATGTGGTCCGTGGTCAGAACATCAAGTTGGAGTGCAACTTTAACCTGGACGGTGAGACGTTATACTCGGTAAAATGGTACAAAGACGGGAACGAGTTCTACCGATACGTGCCGCAGAACATGCCGCCTGTGCTCGTCTTTCAGCTGCCAGGTGTCACGGCGAACGTAAGAATCACGTTGTATTGATTTTTACCGCGTCTCGTGCCAATGCACCCCTCGCCTAGCTTATTCTATTTAAAGCGCATCGCTTCTCATTTTTATCGCGTTCTGTCGCCTGCGTTTCTATTCAATCTCGCTCATTTCCGGCCTACGAATTTCTCTTCGGGCCTGCACCATGTACGGCCAACGAAATTCGGTCGGGAACAGTGTCCAGCTGTTTCACGAGACTGCACCTGTTCCCTTGGGCTACGTATCTTTCTCTTACAAGAGAAATTAGGGTCTGCGAATTTTTTATCAGCTAGCTAGCAGCTTGCTTTTAGCCTTTGGTGTTTAGTAATATGCCATCGTCGATATTGTTCACCTTTTTTATTTTGAGTGTCCTAGGGATTTCAGGAATTTCTTTTTAGAGATCCTTAACATTTTGTAGGGTTGAATAGTTGTTAGGTCGTAGAAAATCTGCTCTGTTTTGCATGATTGATAAATAGATATTTATGCAATTGTTTCTACGAATAATTAAAATAGCAAGGCCTAGATAGAAGAGACCTGTTTCGCTTATAAACATTTTGCACTCGGATGTTCCCTCTGAGGGAACTCGAACAGAAACTCGGTGATTATATGGCACAAAATTACTAAAGCTTCAAGCTTTTTTTAAAATATATGTTTCCTCGAAGTTTCATCTTCACGTTGTATCAAAGAACAAATAAAGGAACGAAAATTATGGCCAGAGTGCAAAGGATTATATACTATAATCGGTAAACTCCGGATATTTCAATCATAAAAAATGTTATTTCAATACATGTTGAGCATTCGCTTCTGGTAGCCTCATAAACTCTCACAGAAGAATGTTGATGGCAAGAATTCGCTATGAAAACCGCTGGAATCATGATAGCTGATTCGAGGAATAGTACAGGGGTCAATTGCAATGGGTTAATTGGTTCATAGCGCTACAGAGAGAATCATTGTCGTTTTTCAGATTCACAATTCGACCGAGAGATCGGTCGTTCTCTATTCCGTGAACCTAATGAGCACCGGAAGATACAGATGCGAGGTGTCAGCCGAGGCGCCATCCTTCCAAACGGTCTCCGATCACTCGGACATGCTGGTAGTGGGTAAGAAACGTTTACAGATCGTTGCATCAGTTGATCTTCCCCATCGCCAACCACACGGCAAACGTTTTTTACGTCCTAACAAAAATACCAAACGTCCTTTCTGCTTTCCTCTAGCATGACAGGTCCACGTAGATTCACTATTAGTTCCATCCCATTTACTATAAAAAAAAAATAAGTTAATTTTAACCTGTGTAGCTTCTTCCTCTTCTTTGTTTTTGCAGGATTTATATATAAACATAATATTTGTTAACTATTTTTCTATAATTTTCATCTTGATTTTATACTTACCATCGTGAAAAACGAAACTTTAGATACAAAATTTGTTGACTTTTATTTTTTGCAATAAAGAATGAGGTAAATAACTTTGTAGTAAAATAACATACCCTGTGTAAGGCTATTTTTCCTCCTTATCATCTCATCGCCTGAAACTATTTTTAATTTTCTTTTAATTTTCTGATAATTTTTTAATATTATACGAATATCTCATTCCCTCAAACATTTTGAGATTTGATATTAATTCTATTTACTTACTTGGCTTGTAATTTCGTAAAATTACATAAACGTGTACCTTTACATAACCTTACTTTTCTAAGAATTTAAGTATCTCCGAGAGAAAAAAGAAAATGGTAAAAAACTTGCAGCCCTACCGGAAGACGGGCCCATTATCACCGGAAGGCCAGGAAGGCATCGTTATCAAGTCGGTGACGTGGTACGGTTCAATTGCACTTCGGCGAAGTCTAAACCAGCTGCCATGCTCAGCTGGTTCATCAACGGGGACCCTGTAAGTAACTTATACTTATAACTGTTCCTAGTACTTGTCAGAAGCCATGAAATTCCGTGGGAAAAGTCCTGTGCGACATTTTTCTTATCGCTGCTTATCCGTTGTAATTACTCGCTTGCCATCAATTTCAACTTCTTTCAACACTGTCCACTGGGTGCCCACCGCAAGTATATTGATTTTCAGAATATAGCGTGATGTTGGATCAAGGAACGGTATTCCGTTAATTGGACAACCGAGGCGGATCGTTTAAAGCAGCTAATTGAAGTGTTATAAATGATACCGGCCGTGTTGCACATTCGTTTTATTAGAACACCGCCATCTATGAGGATCTTTAATGACTACGTAACTCAAGTATCCCTTGTTCTTTAGTTTCCAATACATGGTAAACATTGATTCAGGAATTTCCTGCATCTAACACAATTTTAATGCAAGAATTTGAGATAGCGAATGGTATTTTAGAAGTCAAAAGTATAACGATATGCTCCGAACACAAATTTTGGACATTTGATTGCTTAGAATCTAGAAGATTGCAATTCGATTTCTTCTAGTTGGAAACCAGGAAATTCCTTAAGGATACACTAAACTATGTATAAAAAGTCGGTAAATACATAATTGAGAAAAGGACCTAATAGGTTTCGTAATCAGATAGTTGAATTATTATGAAATTTTTCTATAAAAACTTTATAAAAAAATACAAAGATCGGTAGGAATCCTTACTATTATTAATTCAATAAACCTAGAACCAAAGCAGGTACGCGCAATTTCCAATTTTGTCATGTGAATTCTTTTTCCAGAGAATTGCTCAATTATTTATTCCTTCATCCAATTCGTCATTCTCTTTGTGCTCAGCCCGGTCGTTCTCCTAAAAGAACAATTGAACGAATCTTCCAGTCGACGTCCATTACTTGTTCTATAAATAATTACCTAGTCCAGGTACTGGTCAAACACCTGTTAATAAATCATCCGTCTGCTTTCACGTGCCTGCCATCTTTCGAAACGTTGCAGTCCCTCGAGTGCAGTCCAACTCGATCACAGGGTTAACGTAGCCGTAACTTATCCTGGTCAGGCTCGCTCGTCCAAAGTAGAATTGCAAATTTGACTTACTTCCCCTAAACACGCAGACACCTGCAAGTGAAGAAACAGACTTTTATATCTTTTTCTTTCTTTCTTTCTTGTTATTTTTGGTGGGATTCAGGTCGACACGCAATACTTGAGAGGGCCCCACATCACTGAGGTGGATCGCGAGGGTCTGGAAACCGCCGTGCTAGGTCTGGAGTTCCGTCTGCGTACGAAGCACTTCAAGAGGGGGGACCTGAAGATCAAATGCCTGGCAACGATAGCGACCGTATATTGGAAATCGAACGAGCTCAGCATAGAGGGTGAAAGGCCCCTCAAGATGCCGGTCATGGAGAGCAGGGAGACAAGGGCGCAAGGCCATACGCACGCGGAACATATCTTAGGAGGTAAGCAATGGAACATGAGCTGCTCGGTCGGTATACGGTTGTTGTCGAAATTATTCGATCACTTGTCAAACCTTTCATGAGTATACAGTGACTACAAAAGGAATCGACACATGAAGCGCTTCTCTGTTAGAATCTACATTTCATTTCCATAATATCAAATTACTAAATGATGAGAAATTTAACATACTTTAATTTAATTAATTAGTACGTATATGCTATGGTTTGCCAGTAGTTTTTGTAGCCATTATATTATGCGTTATCGATAAAACATTTCCAAATTGGAATAGCAGTATAGTGACCAGTACAGGCTTGAAACAAATTCGAGAACAATTGAGATACAAAGAAAGTATAAGATATTTAGTATAAAGATATACATATCAAGCTAACATATTTTTATATATACGCTTTTCGAATATCTTGCTCGGTTAGGAGCTTTTGCACTCCACTGTATACCACGTTGTAACGCGAAGTAGAATCATAAAAAAAGTTATTATTTGGGACGGAAGGCATCGAAAATATAGAACGGCGGTTTTTCGTGGAAGCTTTCATTCTAAAGGAAAAGCATTCCGAAGAGATCGCTTAAGGACGCGTGCACTTGACGGAAAAGCCTCAGTGGTTCCCATTTCTTCTCGTTACAGTCCCGTTGAAAATGCATTTAAAAATTGTTTCGATAGAAAATTATTTGAAATTTGTGAAATATTAGTTCGTTTTTCATTATTACTTAATTATTTATTGTTTCGTGTAATGAATTGTATTATATATACATTAAATTTATTGAAAATTTAGATTATTCAACGATTTCCGTGCTTTGCTTTGAAGCCTCTATTTTCCATATATCGATAAAAAATTCTGTCGGTAAAGAAAACAGTGATTCGATAATTTATCGATTAATGAGTAACCTTTTCGATTGAAGTGAATGGAACAATTAGTTTAGATATGTCAAATTCTTTTGCAGAAATATGAGAACCGCTGTTATACTTCAGTTAACTCTTGGACAGCGAATTTGTGGATGGCGATGGCTAGGTCAACTTTGATACGGACATTTCACGTTTATACTCTCTAATGATATACTTGCGTGTTATCGTTTTATCAGATTATATATAAACAGTTTTATTTCTGGGATAAATATTATTATTACGTTGGGGTAAATATCGGAGAATTATATTTGAAAGTGTTATTAAAAAATTTATTATCCTTTCCCACACTTTATTTTTATTTTCATTTTTATTTTTATTTACTTCCTCGTATATTGTTCAATATATTATACTAAAAATTCCACAAAAATTATGGCTATAATAACTATAATCCAGGTGAGGGTTAAACGCGCACGTAGCACATTTTCAAACCACTTTACTTCTAAGCCAAGTAAGGAAAAAAAGAAATTTTGTTGCTTTAAAAAAAAAAATAATTTTCCAGAAATATTCATAACTTTTCAAATTAAATACAACTATCTTAAGTCCATCATGACATCTAGTAATTCTTTTCCATTTCCAAACAGATTTTCATCCCCTAGGAGAGGATTCCTAACCTATAAACGATCCTTTACCACCAAGACATCAATCGTTAAGATCGATGCCAAGGAAAAAGGACCGTCTGTCCACGAGGAAATATCGAGACGAAATATCGTTAGGAAAAACTGTGACAACGAATCAGAGACACGTTCGTTTGCCGACAATTTGCTGACTTATGGTCACATGCCTGGCGAACGTCAGTAAACGTTTGTGTCAGTAGCCTGTGGATGCAATTCCCTCGCCAATATCGATCGAATTAAACCGACGATACGTTCCGATTTTTCACTCGATTTCCATCGTCCATTTTACTCTTTTCTCTCTCTCTCTCTGTCTCTATTTTATTTTATTTTTTCCTTGTCCCTGGTTCGTCGACAAAAATTGCTCGTTGAGATTCATCGTGGTTCAATGCTTTTTCATTTCTGTTTCAGGAAGCGGAAGCAGCATGTTAGCGCCGTGTATCTTCCTGCTGATGACGAGTATATTGATTCTACGATAAGAAGGACACACACAACATGGTGCCGCGTCCTTTTTTGTGCTCATCCTTTTCAGGCCTCCAAAAACAAGTGTTATGGAGACCACTGGTGTACTAAATTATCCGTGTTGTTTCTATTTTTTATAATCGCAGTTAGTGGAGTTAGCGACGATATAGGCGAGAGAATATACTTAACAGAGATATACGTCAGTATGTTAGAGATTAGAAAATGGGTGGACGCATAAATTCGTACTTACTGAATCGGGTGTGTAAATCTCCCTGCATCTTGCACGGATTTTTTATACTTTCCATGTTTCGTTATCTTATAGCTTATAGTCGTTTTTAACACTATAACGAAAGGCTAATTTCGAAATTGACGAACAATGGTTTTTTTGTACTTGTAGAAAAATTTAGTAACTTTAAATATATGAAAAACAAAAAGATTAAAGTAATAAATAGATTTAGTTATCTAACCCAAAATGCAAGATGACCACTACAAATGCACAAAAATTCTTGTCCGATTGCATTTTTAATTTCGACAATAATATAATATTGATTGTCAATATAAAAGTAATGAAACGTAATAAAAGTAATTAAATCTTGTATGATGTTAATAGAATTTAAAAAGTAACACAAAGTTAACGCTCATATGGCGGAGGTAATGTCGTGTCTGCGGCGTCATAGTGTTAAATCCCAGATTCTCAAGCAAGATGCAAAGAGATGTATAGTCTCGTTAAAAAAAACATGATCATGGTTATTTAAAGAAGCTATTCAATCGTTGATACAACACAGAGAGCAGAGTTTACAAATCTACGTTCATCTCAGCATCTTCAAACTCTCGAGAGTGCGAAATTGCAGCCCTTACGTACTTCTTTTCCTCTCCTTCATCTCTTACTATTAAAAAAAATCGCAAGCGTAAACGAACGATTAATAATCAACCGGAATGAATGAATGAATGAACGAACGAGCGAACGAACGCCGAGTATATTTATATTCTAATTGTACACGAGTGTTTCTATCGTCCAGTCACGCGAGAGAACAAGCAAAGATTTTAGCCCCGGTGAGAGTGTTCTCTTTCGTCGTAGCTTTTATCAATCTAGTCGCTATTAATCAACAGAGATATGTTACCCTAGAAGTTATTGTGAGCCGTATGTATGCGCGTGAATGTAGAGTGTGTTTTACCAAAGAACATTTTGCGCTAAATAACATTCCTAATTGTTAATTACAAGTGAAATACACGGGGTGGTATAAAAAGAAACCACTACCTGCATATCGTATTTTACTGTAAGAGCACTTTGTACATATGTACATAAATTGAACCGACTTTTATCTCTAACTTAACGTTCTGATAAATAAAGCGGCGTTTACTTCAATGGATCAGACATAAGTCTTAGTTTTATCCAAGAATAATTTTTTAATTATAAGATACTATGTTTGCGTGTCTATGTACTATTCGTATTGTAAACAAAGAAGATCATAATTTGGAAGTACTGGAAAGGCATCTTTCAGTGAAAAACTGATGTCGCTTGCTCTGTGGCTTGCAAGACTTAACCGGCGATTTGGCGAAGAATTTGGAAATCTTTTGTTCCCCAGGATTCCCTGTGTCTTCCACTTCTTCCCATTCAACGGGCAGGGCCTTTGACTCTAGAATCTTTTCAGCAGTAGACCAGCTGAATCTGACAATATGCGGAAAGCCAAATACTGGATCTACATTCTCGGACAACCACTTTTTAGTATCCGGATCATTAGGATATCCGCTTCCGTACTCGGTTGTTATCAACTCTTCGCGAAATTGCCAAGCTTTCAAAGCATGATCGCGCAAAACTTTAGCGCAAATACTGGCAGCACTGACGATAGGATACGTTGAGTCAGCCTTCTTTGCCACAGTTATCTTTATGTCCGGGAAAATCTGTTCCAACCTGGCCTGGTACTTCTGCGGTACGCCTACGGTGTCTACATAGATTTCTGTGATGTTTGCACCAGCTTCAATCACCAGTTTGGCTAGTTCAATCGCGGAATTCATAGAAACTTCGTTCAGGGAGGTCTTAACACGACGGTACATGTTATTCGCGATAATGTTAGGGGATATGACATCTACAGCCCAACCTATTGTCTTGTGCTGCTTACAAATATTGTCGAAAATTGCGTCCCTCTGTTCTTCCGTCAAACTCTTGGAGTCTGCGCAACCTAGATCCACAAGAAGTTGCTTTTCTGATAAAGGTGCATAGGCAATCCCATAAACCATGGGTCCCAAGACTGGCCCACGTCCAGCCTCATCGATACCAAGTTGACATGGTTCATCCCGACACATTTGCGGTACCTAGAAGAAATTACAAATAAGGACTCAAGTTAGAAACTTGATTTGTTTGAGAAATGAATTATCTATGAAGGAATGTTTATCAGAGTGTACTATTAAAATCATCAATAGTTTAGCAATTAAACGATGTTTATTTGTAAGAAATTTATTCTATATTCTTATATTGTAGGATATGTATATATATATATACTGAATTGCTCCTTTCCAATCATACTTTTTATGGAATTTTGTATAATTTCACTGCTTTTACAAGTGTTTTTAAAATACATGATATGTTTCAGGCTCCACTAATAATGATTCTATAATTTTATTAGGTTATGTTTTCATAAGAGCAACTACAAGTTACATAATTCCAAAACAGTTGCAAGCTGTTTTAAGTACTGTCTATTATGCTATTCTTCTGTTAGTTATTAACAGAAGGTCAAATTGATGATATGTTAATAGTTAATAGTTAACATTCAATAACCTATACGTCACTATGATCTCAAGAAAATAATAATTGAAGTAAATAATAAGAAAACAGAAGCTCTTAGAGTAATTAAAACATATCGTTCTTTTTTATATATACATACATCTGACAAATGAACTCTATTGACACTATGATCCCAAGCTTTGAAATACGGGGTTAGATTTTCTTTGCAGGTAATCTTACTATCTTTCTCAGAATTAACACAATTTTCTTCTAATTTCGTTTCTTCAACTTCATCTATCATTTCCTTTTCGTTCTCCATAACGTTCACGCGTTTTTCCTCCAATATAACCTCAAAACCGAATGCCAGTATTTAGATTAACCGCCAAAATCGCAAACGTGGATATCGATAGGTCGTATCGAAGTATGATAAACAATTCTCTAATCCAAATGAGCATCACATTTTTAAATTGCTAGAGAATAATCTAGTCAAACTTAAGAAATTTACAATAATTAAAAATATTTTACAAATATTTGATTAGGTATTTCAATGATATTTTGAAGAAAAGAAACAAATAGAATTATTTCGATAAAACTCATGTATCGATAAAAATTCGCCCAGTATCGACCTCGCACCAAGGGTTTCTGACTACCTGTGTACATGTGTACGCGTGTCCTCGGTAGAAATAGTTGATGACGCCGTGTGTTAGTAATATCGTGTGTCGCAAAATATAACCTCACAATAAAATGCTCGAATCCTTATCGGTATCATTAAAGGTCTCGTTCTTGAGAAGAATTTGATTTTACACAGTCGTGTTAGTCTGAGGACGCTTCGGCGTGCACATTACACCATGAAAGTTATCGTGAAGAAGCTTCAAGGGAAAGAATGCGTTGTTGACGTGAGTAGACAACAGCTTGATTTCCATTTTTCCCATTTTCCATTTTTCTATTTACAACGGGAAACGTCGCGCGATATATCCATTCAATTGATGAGCCGTCGACGATGTTTCTAGAAATTTTTTTAACCTACATATAGAATATTTTGCACATCTTAGGAAATTAACTTTTTGAATTTTTTTTATTTAGAGTAGTCTTAATAGGGTTACATTAGTATCACCAACTGTTTTCGTTAATCAGGATTCCGTGACTGACAATAATAATCATTGGCATACATATTTTCTGAGTGGTATACACACTAATGATGGGTTGAAAGTCATAGTGGTGTAAGTCAAGATTTTGAGAATTTGCACATATTGCATATACTTCACTACTTTTAAAAATATTGCCTTCTTAGCTTTGTAATTAACTAAGTTACAACTTTAATCTCTGTCACAATATATTTTTATGACTTGAAGAAATGTACTCAATCTTTTATAATAAACACAGAACGCTATTTTATGAAAGCTAACAGTGGATTGATTTATGCTACTATAACTCTCAGGTGTCTAAATTTGCATATTGATCATAGCTATTGTCAGTTATTGCTTTTGTCAGTCCTGTGTCATTGATTTTACTGTAATCTATTTTGTCATTGATTAAACAGGTTTCATGTTATTCTAAATAATTGTTAATTAATTCTTTGTTTTTTAATAGATTACACCTTCAGATACAGTTCTTCAGTTAAAACATAAAGTTAGTGACCTCTTGGGAATAGATGTTCCCCACCAGAGACTGTTGCTTACGGGCAAGACATTAGCTGGTAGTATTTGAACTATAAACAAAACATTTGAATTTTATGTTTGCCCTCTAAGACAATGGCGTAAAAATATTTCAGATGAAAATCCATTGAGTTTCTATCCAGGAATTAAGGATGGGAGCAAGTTAAATCTTTTGGTTATTAAAAAGGCAGAGGAAGGGTCTAGTGAGGGAAGAGCTTCACACAGCAAATCTGGCATATATCTCTTACGAGATGAAGTTTCTAGAGTTCTGAGGCATTATTATACAGAGTCAGAAACTGAGTCGATAACCAATGAGTTGATAAAAGACCTAAAGAATAAAGTGAATAACCTTAGTTACGATGATCTAGAACGATTAGCGACTGCACTTCTCCAGGACCAAGAGAATATAGCCTAAGAATAAAATTTCAGTTCTTCAACTTCTCTTGCTTATTATTTGATTATTGTAATACACTTTTATTTAATTAGAAAAAAACATTGCCTCATTATATCCTGATAACCAGTAGTATATTTTAAATAATCGTAAATAATAAGACGTGTAAAGAGCAACATATAGATGTATTAAAAGGTCGATTTTATTAAATTTATTAAAACGTACATAAAGTATACTAATAGTAACTGCACTTTAATAAAAAAAAATAGACGGGAGTTCTCAAGGATCGGCCAAGTCCAATTGGCGAAAGTATCGCGCAACTAGGCATATAAATAAATTCAGTGCCCCTATTTCATGTACTTCCAGTCTCTTCTAAAAAAATAAATAGAAAAAAGGGAAGAAGCAGATAAAGTTAAGATCAATAAGGAGAGGGCCTCAACTTTGTGTGTCTGATTTTAATGAAATTTTAGGGCCTGTAATAAATTCCTTTTTCTATGTTCATTGAAAACATTAAATACAAAAATAATAAATTCAACAAAGAGTGAAAATGTTGAAAACAGATGTTCATGTTAGTTTTTATGCAATGTATTAAATATAAATTATTCACTTTATGGTAAGTACCATCCTAAAATTTTTGTAATAATATTAATAATTGATTTAGAAGTATGTATTTAAAATATGCAGACTCAGAATTTTCATTTAAATCGACACTGGAGTTGGGGTCCTCTCCTTATTATAAGATATGTTAACTACAAAACAATTAGTAAGCGATTTATATGTTTTCTTTTAATACAAATGATAATTGTATCCTTCTTTTTAGACTACTTCTTTAACTCACTCCCTGATTTATGTCAATGGCAAATTTAATATACGCAATAAAACTGATTTGTTAAAAAATAAAGGATGGTGTTATTTGTAATCCATTATTACCGATTTTGCACGCATGACAGAACAGGTTCTAGCCAAAGAACGCAGACAAGAACATGTTCCTGGAGTTAGTGGCATTTCTAGAACAACTAGCAATGCATATATCCATTGACCCAATTTGTACTCAATCTTTTTTAACGTTTCCATGTGCTCAACTAAATATTCTAATATTTGTTCTACCATTGGTTGGTTTAAAGAAAAAATAACATCCAATGTTGGAGGAACTCGTATGTTTTCTTCATCATTACCTGAACAGAATTTGATCCAACCTTTCTCATCATCAATACTTGGCTGTAAGATTAAAATGTTAACATTAATATTAAAACATGCAACTAGTAGAAAAGTACTTTAATATATACCATATCGATCTTTGGAGGTTTCCATTTACGTTTCAATGTCTGAATTTCATCTTTCAATTGACTTATGTATAGTCTGATATTGGAAAAGTCTGACACTTGACATAACTGCCAATCAAGCGTAGGGCCCAGCCATGGTGGTGCCTCCATGCAGCCTGATAACTTATAAGGTTGTGTTTACATGATTATTATACATTATCTGAATTCTGGCTAGCGTACAATTCATACTTCTTTTACAGATGATATTAAAACATCCATTTGCAAACTTACAGGTTCAACATCAATTGTAGGTTTTTTAAAATGTTTTCTATCAATATCAGCTACTACAATATCAGCACATTTCTGTGTTTCTATCCTGTAATAACATTATATAAAATTCTTTATTCTCGATTATTAATTATTAAAAATATTTTTTTATGATTATTTTCTGGAAATTTACTTACATTACTCTTTTTATATATTCTTCTCCGGAAGTTGGAGGCAAGGACAAATTAATATCCTCATCAATTTCTCCAACATCGAAAGCAAGTTGTCTTAAATAATCTGTCATTTTGTTTATTGTTTAACAGATAGGTACTTCCAATTTTCATTCGATAAGATTAATTTTATTCGTGGACAGCATTTGTGTTAGTATACTTATAGGTTATATTGTTTCTTTCAGATTAGGTTATGGTCACCCTTTAATATAAATACCAAAGATCATGACAGTTGCAACTAAAATTAAAAAAGTTGCAATATAGGCAATGTAAAAAAGTTATGCATTTTTGTATTTCAAAGTGACAATAAACGCTTTGTTAAAACAGTCATTTTATTTAATACAGAAGGAATACTAAGAAATGGAACTTTTTATTTTTAACATTAGACTTTTAGCTTGATACATTCGGTTTTTTCGATTTTTAATTGCTTACATTTTTTTATTTTTTTTAATTTTTGAAAAGAAAGTATGAATAATCCAATTTTTGCTTCCTGCATTCATTTACATAATTAATGAAAAATATGCAACTGAATTCATGATCCTCAATTTCTTCGAATATATGTATATTTTATCCAAATCGATTGAATCATTAAAAAGAAATATATTGTTTAAATTGTCTAACACATTACGAGTAATGTATGTATGTTGTATTGTTGTTTGGGTAACATACGTCTTCTATCATACAAGATATATATGCCCGTCTCAGTTCAAGCCAGGTCGGTAGGTACAAGTATACCCACAGATATGGGTACGTCTGAGTAGGTCCATGATCGAGTCATTTGTGTAATCATAGTCATGCTTGTGATTTACAGTGTGTAAGGGATAAGGAAACGTCTTTTGGAAGTTGTATACATTGTATCTTTACATAAAATTGTATATTTGTAAGAAGCGCTTAAAGCCGAAGCACTAACGAAAAAGTCTCGCATGCTAGAGACCTCTGGTGACAGAGTGGGGAAGGTTGCCACAGCAAATAGTTCTACCTGACGAATGATGTCGCTTTGACGGCTTTGTCTTTATCCATGCACGTGTGTTTGCGTATTGCACGGATCGTTCGATTTTTGGCGCACAACTAGGTAATAAATCTCGAACCTACTATAAAATCATTACTTCAATATAACCTATAAACATCTCATCGAGTAATTTCTAATAATTCTAAGAATTTTTCTAACATCCACTACTGTCGCAAAATAATCGAAGTTTCTTTTGTCTCAATTGCAGGTGCTTCGTCTCTATTTTTCCCCTGTTATCTTTCTTTTCCCTCTGTTAAACGTTTCTTATTTTTATTGCGCAACCAACATTAATAAGCTAGTTATTTTTATCGGGTAACTTTAAATGTGAAATGCATTAAGAATCACGGTTTCTGTATCCCAGGCCCACTATCAGTGTCTTTCTCTTTCTTCTTCTATCGCTCTGTTCTGTCCCCCTCTTGTCTATGTACCTCTTCGTCGCACTCGTTGGCTGGCTCATGTAACGAGCCGTTTACGGCAATGGAAGTTTTTCAATTTTCGAATTTGACATTACTCCGCTTCGATCTTACTTTCTAACGCACGTGCGATCGTGTTCCTAACCTCCGGCTTACATAACACGTATCTTGTACCACGTATTTCATACCACGTATCTCATACCACGTTAAAACGACACTCCAAGTATCTAATCGAATTTCAGACGAATCATGCCGTCCGACGCAAAAAAGAAGCAGCAACAGAAAAAGAAGGAAGCAGCTAAAGCTCGTCAATCAGGCAAGAAGCCACCTCAGAATAACCAGAACAAGACTGTGGAGGATGGTAAGGAGTCCAGTCCTGGAGTGGGAATCATTCAAAATGGAACCAATGGGTTGCCTGTTAGTGCAGAAGGTAAAATTAGAAACTGTCTTTAAAAGGCAAAAATGTTATCAAAGGTCTTTTAATTGAGAGTTTGATTCATTGGTGTTATTATAGAGGCACTGTGTATGAAACTGGAAGCAGATGCAAGATTGAATGCTGAAGCACGTTCATGTACAGGATCATTGGCTTCACACCCCCGAAGTCGTGATATAAAGATATCTAATTTTTCTATTACTTTCCACGGCTGTGAACTGCTGCAAGATACTATGTTGGAATTAAACTGCGGCAGACGTTATGGCTTGCTTGGACTTAATGGCTCTGGGAAATCTACTTTATTAGCTGTACTTGGAAATCGAGAAGTTCCTATCCCTGATCAGATTGACATTTTTCATCTGACCAGGGAAATGCCTGCTAGCGATAAAACAGCTTTAGATTGTGTGATGGAAGTAGATGAGGAGCGTATACGATTAGAAAAACTGGCAGAAGAGTTAGTAGAATGTGAAGAAGAAGATGCTCAAGTATGTTCTTACTTTGTATATCTTGCTTTTTTTACTGGCACTTAATATTTAACAGTTTTTATCTAAATAGGAACAACTCATGGATGTCTATGAAAGGTTAGAGGATATGTCAGCTGATACGGCAGAAGCTCGTGCTGCTCATATCTTACATGGTTTGGGTTTCACTGCAAAAATGCAGAAAACACCTACCAAAGATTTCTCTGGAGGTTGGCGAATGCGAATTGCTCTTGCAAGGTTAACTATCTAATTGTCTGTGAATAGAAGAGTTTGCATATGTATACAATGATCTACTAAGGCTATTTTATTCTGTTTCAGAGCTTTATATGTGAAACCTCACCTATTATTACTGGATGAGCCTACCAATCATTTAGATTTGGATGCTTGTGTATGGTTGGAAGAAGAATTGAAAACATACAAAAGAATTTTGGTCATTATTTCTCACTCACAAGATTTCCTCAATGGCATCTGTACAAATATCATTCATGTCAATAAAAAGCAACTAAAATATTATGGTGGTAATTATGAAGCGTTTGTGAAGACAAGGTAAATTGAAATTAGACATAACAAAAAGATGAACGAAACTTAAATTCTTGCTAAATACAAATGAGAATATTAATATGAATTCTCTATGTTAGAATGGAATTACTGGAGAATCAAGTGAAGCAGTATAACTGGGAACAGGATCAAATCGCACACATGAAGAATTATATAGCTAGATTTGGACACGGATCTGCAAAACTAGCAAGGCAAGCACAATCTAAGGAAAAAACACTGGCAAAGATGGTAGCACAAGGTCTCACAGAAAAAGTAGTCAATGACAAAGTGCTGAACTTCTACTTTCCCTCTTGCGGAACTATTCCACCCCCTGTTATTATGGTTCAAAACGTTAGTTTTCGTTACAACGAAGATTCACCTTGGATTTATAAAAATCTAGAATTTGGTATAGATTTAGACACCAGAATTGCATTAGTTGGGCCAAATGGAGCTGGAAAAAGTACTCTTTTAAAATTATTATATGGAGATGTAAGTTCCAATTAACCACCATGTACGGAAATTAAAAAAGGGAATATTTATATATACAAAGTTACATATTAATTTATAATTACAGTTAGTTCCAACTAGTGGTATGATACGTAAGAACAGTCATCTTCGAATCGGGAGATACCACCAACATTTACATGAATTATTAGATCTAGATATGTCGCCTTTGGATTACATGATGAAAGCCTTTCCAGATGTTAAAGAACGAGAAGAAATGAGAAAAATCATTGGTCGTTACGGATTAACCGGTCGTCAGCAGGTATAATTATTTATAAAAGCTTAAATATCTATCATTGAGGTTCAAAAAGTAATATTTTCTTTTTGTGTGTATAGGTATGCCCAATAAGGCAATTGTCCGATGGTCAACGTTGTAGAGTGGTCTTTGCATGGTTAGCTTGGCAAGTGCCTCATCTATTATTACTTGACGAACCGACCAATCATTTAGACATGGAGACAATTGATGCATTAGCTGATGCAATTAATGATTTTGATGGTGGAATGGTGCTTGTGTCTCACGATTTCAGATTAATCAATCAGGTATATACTGCCGTTTAAAAAGACTAGGTATATAATCCATTAATCACTTGATTATATAATATCTATACGTTTTATTAGGTGGCAGAGGAAATTTGGGTCTGTGAAAATGGTACAGTCACGAAATGGAGTGGAAATATATTAGACTACAAAGAGCATCTGAAGACCAAAGTGCTTAGTGACAACCAGAAGAGACAAAAGGAGATGCACAGAAGCAAATAATTTGAATAATGTGTAATATGCTTTGCCCAATTTTTTTCCAAGTATATTTTCTCTCTCTCTCCATTATAGTAATCTGTCCTCGTTGTTTCGTGTCTATTGCTGACTTTGCGCTGCTGTGTAGCGTTTATCAGTGATCGAAGATTTTTTAGTTAATTTATTTAAATAATGAGCAGCGAATTACTCTGTAATAGCTGGCGATGTCGATTCATGGTGGATATTTGCCATGTTATTAAGTTAGAGATTCGACATTATTACTGTACTACGAAAAATTATAGATTTCACATGTATATACATATGTGTATGTGTTATACATACGTGTATGTGTTATACATACACATATGTATATGTATGTATATACATAAATAGATTACTTAAGAGAACTACTGAAATAAAACACGTTTAAGTATTATTAACATACAACAAATACTCGATTTTTTTTCTTGCAATTTAGCTTTATTATAAAGTCGTATTTAGCTATAAATTAATTTGATTCTTGGTATATAAAAAAATATATGGATGTGTACAAACAGTTATAAATACTTAATATAATCGATAAAACGACACGATTTCTCTCGAATAGAACTTTTCATCTGACATTATACATAAATACTTTGATCTAGTATTAACATCATGGAAGACTAAAGTCTCGCGGATATCCATATCACAAGACGTAGTATATCTCTGGTTCTTTCGTCGTGAAAAATGTTTAAATCTATATATATTATATATCTTACAATATTTTTTAATACGCCATGGAAGTAATGTATGCATTTTTGTAACAACTATGATTACATGAAATGTAATACACTGAATATTGTCGATAGAAAACTCGAAGTTGCACTATTGGGTTTTGGACCTTGACATAATAAAAAAAGGAAAAGAAATACATAATATGAAACATTTTGTAATGCTGTGTATACCTTCAATTTCACGTAGAGCCTAATAAAGCCTAGTATAAGGACCCAAAACCACGAGAAACATAGAAACTGTAAATACTGGTGAAGATTTTTCTGGATCAGGAGATAAACTGAAGGTCAAACAGGTGTTGAAGCTGGAACAGAACAAGCCACCTCCTGTGCCAGTGCAGCATTCCTTAAGATTGATAAGTGGGAATCCATATCACTCAAAGCTTGATCAATAAATGCTAATTTCCTAGCATGACTCTTGGACACTCCATGCTTAGTCACCAATGCCAGGTGTGTAACAGCCAGTACCAATGCTGCTACTCTGGCTTCCAATAATCTTGCATCTAATGGTGGATACAAACTTCTAACCACATCGTCAACTCGAGGTGGAATACGTCTGGCAACCTAATGAATACAGATATACAAATTCTTAGCTTTGAGTGTTACTATGGAATAAGGAAGTATAGACTTACATCTACTATCTCCAATGGGACAGTTTTACTGTTTACTGTGCCTGCAATAGCAGTGAGACTGGAAGCCAAAGCATGGCACGATCTTAATACAGCAATACATAGTGGAGCTAAACCAGTAGCATCATCAACCCATCTGTATTATCCATAAAATTTCACCATTGAGTAATTAATTCAGAGTCTCATCTCTAGATATTAACAAACGCTCTATACCTCTCTGCACCAGCTAACCATTCTTCGCTTTCCCAAACATCTAAGCCTAAACCAGAGAAATTTTCTCCCTCTAGCAAGTCTGAGCTTAGATCTGGAGAGTCTTTTTGATTCTGAAATGCAATTGTACAGATTTTACCATGTTTCATAAGAGAGAAAAAACAATATATATATGACTTATAGTATATAACTTACATAGTAACATCTTTGTCTTTTGCATATAACAAGTAATACTAAGAGTGCACCAAGGAAAACAGCAGCAAGTGCACCAAGTGCAACAGCTACTACTGTTTCCATTCCTGTAGCACTAGTTGTGGGACCAGCGTTACTTATGGATACCGGAGAACTCATTTTTCAGATGAGTTTGACAATTCAATTACTTTGTTCAAATGAACCTTTTAATTAACTAAACCCTTTTAAATAGTTCATGAATACTGTTTCAACTATTTTTCTTGTGTCAAAACTGTAAACAGCGTCGAGTTTCCCGGTGACAGTCGGTGGGAGGCGGAGACTGTCACGAATCTTAAGCTCCATTCATAAAAAATAATTCCTGATTGTAGCTTTTGTAAGTCACGTTATGTAATTCGGAAATTATATTAACAAGTGGTTTTGTACTATTCCATGCTTGTACAGAGGAAATCTATGAAGAATAAGATCATAATCGGTAAATCCGTAAAAAGTGGAAAGTAAATATATAGAAAAATTTTATTAAACAAGTTCTCCTCTTTTCTCATTTTGCTTATTTAAAAATTAGAAGGAATTTTTGGTAGGAATTTCTTTATTACATTTTTAAAAGTATGTTTTTATGGATGTATACACATTTTTGGATCTGTGTAATTATTTTGTTATGAAAGTTAATATCTAGGGAGTTCTAACAAATATTAAAACTATGAACGAATGTTAATAGTTATCCCATTTAATTTACAAAAAATATTTAGCATTTATTTATTACGCGAACATAGCTTTTATAGTTTCGGAAAGATCATTTTTTAAATAACGATGTTTCCTTAATGATAATAGTAATATTTATAAAATATTAATACGTATATTTGTTTTTTAATCGATGTTTAAAAATTCATCGAATTTTTTTAAATGATCGATCTTGTGATTTATGATATTAATAAGCGAAAAGATAACTTTCGAAAGTAGGAATTTAAAAACTTTTGTTTTAGAATGACAATTAATTTCTGTAATTACTTATCAATTAAATTTATTATCTTAGAAATTCAAACATTTAAACTTATATTTCCTGATTCCTCCCATTTTAATTCTTATATACGTATAATTACTCTATATTTTTTAACAACCTTATAATTACAATTTTTTGAAATATAGAATGCAATTTATTTCTTTAATTATATTTTCTATAAAATTCCATTCAATAAATAATCATTATCGAAATCTTAAAAGCATTGATAACAGAATTTGAATCATCATAACTTTTTTATAAACTAATGAAAAGGAAATAATAAATAAAACAAAAAATTCAATAGCAAAGGAAAAATGATTTATAAATCGATCAGCCAATATTTATTATCATATTATAATACTTGGCAGCACTGTTGCGAAATGAAATAATTCAGTGCATTTCATAGTCATATGTTTTGTGTCATGAAAGAGTTGCTGTCAAATTTAGTGTCATTCGTGAATATTCTGTAAGTGAAAAGACAAAGATATCACGAACGATTTCGCGACAAATCCACTCTGTTTAACTTGCGTTCTCGTCTGTATTTAAGTTACCGAATTTCGAAGAGAATATAACCTATCTTTCTTAAAGTTGCAAATTTCTTTTTTATCAGGTTACCAGGTAAGGTAATACATTGAACGTGATATCCAAACAATACAATACATTTAAAAATTTATGAAAATCGACATTTCAAGTTATCACGTGAAACATAATTTTTATCCTTTTCTTAGTTCAGTGCGAAACTTAAACAAAAGGTGTCACACTTGTCCCAGAGTCAACATAGAAAAGTTTTGTAAAAAATTGTTCAGAGAAATATATTTTAAAACAAAGAGGTAAAAGAAGAGGTCAATTGATTAGAGAATTAGAAAGAATTCACAAAACATTTTGTATACAACATGAATAGGACAACGAACAGTGCAACAGCGAGACTGAAGCAAGACTACTTACGTCTTAAAAAGGATCCTGTACCATATGTTGTTGCAGAGCCAGTACCCTCGAATATATTAGAATGGTATGTGTTTTAAATGTTTTGTATATTAAGAGATAATCTGTTATACATAGTGACTTATAAAAGTATATAGACATTTACCTTAGGAAACTTTTATGTATATTTGTATGTGTTGTATAAAACATTTTGAAATTTCACAATATTGTGATAAAATTTGAAACTGATTAAAAAATGTACATAGAAATTATAAGACATTCAATGTAAACATATATCTCCCAAAGAAAATTCAAAATGTTTTGTATAACATAGCATATTCATAAAAAGTTTCTGTAAGCATTCTAATATTTTTGTGAGTCATTATAAATGCTTATATGTAGATACAGTATGATGTTTTTTAGGCATTATGTTGTGAAGGGTCCAGAGAAAACTCCCTATGAAGGAGGATTTTATCATGGAAAACTTATATTTCCAGTAGAATTTCCATTCCAGCCTCCTAGCATTTATATGACTACTCCTAATGGCAGATTTAAGGTCAATACAAGATTGTGTTTGTCTATCTCTGACTTCCATCCTGATACATGGAATCCAGCGTGGAGTGTATCTACTATTCTTACAGGATTACTTAGTTTTATGGTATGTAATTAATTATTAATAATTAAATTAGTTCTAGTATATCCAATACTAATGTATTGTCTTATGATAGATTGAAAATAGCCCTACCATGGGTAGTATCAATACATCTGATCACGAGAAAAAACAATTTGCTGCACAGAGTCTAGAGTACAATTTAAAGGACAAGTTATTCTGTGAACTTTTTCCAGAAACTGTTGAGGTATCATTAATATTACAAAATGATATACTTTTGATCCATACCAAATAGATTAGTAGAGGAATTCATGTTTCATAGGCAATAAAAGCAGAATTGGAACACAGAAAAGAATTAGAAAAACAGGCAAGGCATCAGACCACGGCTTCAGAAGTTTCGTCGCTGTTACGCGATCAACTACAAAGGGATCAAAGTCCATTGTACAGTGTGCTCACCAATCTTGTTGTCATTATAGGATTCGCAGCATTTGCTTTCACAGTAAAATACGTATTATGGAGCGTTGCTATGGAATAAGTGAACGAAAAATGAATACATAGCATACTTTTCGATAAAGGAAAAAGAACGAGGAAAGATGTTGTAATAACGATGCGTGCAGATCTTGAAGAAAGGTATTAAAAACTGATTTGGGACTGTTTGTCCACATCGAATCCACACCACACGAGCGTTTGATAGATTTTTATAACAAAGTTACTTGTAAAATACGAGTTGTGTACTATATTCGCAAATTTTAAATGTGGTAACCGCGAAACTACGGTAACAATTCCCCAAAGGGTTCTACCTGTGAGCGTTTATCATCAAACAAAATGTCACTGAGTTCTTTATCCAGTTGTAAAGAGAAAAAAGGAAGAAAAACAAATCATAACGCTGTTAATTGATTCGAATTGAATTTCGAATTTACACCATTGGCTTTCAGTCAAGTTCTGTTACGCGAATTTCCAAAGCGTAGTTCAACTAACCTGAACTATAAATATTTAGCGATTATTTGAACAATTATGTAAGTAACTACATGGTATAAGGATATAAGAAGGGGATAGAGGGAAAATGAAAGAGATAGAGTAATAAGGTAAATTCGTGGGAGCTTCCCAATGCTATAAGTAAATCAGTGAAGATTCAAATCTTGCTACTGCTTTCTATTCTTGATCTTTCTTTCCATACATCCACAACGGACTTTTCGCACGATGCTTCAACAACAAAAAACACTTCCCGAATACGTTTAAAAATAAATAGAAGTTCGTCTCTGCGATGTGCCAATGAGAAACTAAGTTAAAATTTCTAACTGAATCGAACTAAGCTTAGTAGAGAATAGCTTGTGTCATTGATGAAACGTGCCGATCTTGTAAATACGTGTAGTAGACTAGTAAGACGTGTGTAATATCAGTTGATAACAAAGTTAAAAAAAAGCAAAGAAATTGAACAGATCAGTGTCAGTATTCATTGTTTAACTGTTTCGAGAGATAATTTTAGAGAAATCGATTCTTTGAATATACATGTTGTGTGTTCTCAGCTTGCTCAGAAGTTTCGTTCGAATCGGTTATCATCGTTTTATTGGACGTAGTGTACTTTTGCTGTCACCCGGTGTGATTGAAAAAAGGAAAAAAGAAAATGAGATTTAATTGTAACTCGCAGATTAACACATTACGATTATACTTTACCGAGTAATTAACTGGTAACGTGTACGAAACTATATTCATGGAAACAGAACTGACATATAATCCGTGAAACGATATTTATGTTAAGGAATTGCGTCGGTTTTATTTATGGATTAAAAATAATGTAATAATTTTTCTACACGAAAAAAGATGTCTATTTTTTGCTTCCTTGCTATTCGATATATTTGTAAAAAAAAAGAAACAGGAAAGAAAAAGGAAATTATTTAAAATTTCTAAATATTTAATGTACAAGCTGATTAATTTACTTAATTTTAAGAATTCAAGTACTTTCAATATTTTAACAACAAATTTAGTGAACAACCAGTGTAATACACCCAGAATAATTTATTAGCACTGAAAATTATGCACGCGAATTTGAAATACGAACAGAATTTGAAAATGAAACCTTCGCGCTCTTTTTCGTCATGTCCTCGCACCATCTTGAAGCGCAATGTGTTTAAAAGCAACTTCTACGTTCTAATGAGTATTTTTATAAAGAAATGATCGTTTTCTCTTCCAATTGGATTAATTTTGTTCAATTATGGATAGAAGAGGAAATCATTCACTTTTAGTTGTAAAACAAAATCTGAAGTAAGTTGTATTTTCACTTGTTATTGACATTCGTTATCATTTTCTGCCTCCACGTAAAATTTACAAATGTATATTAGTTACATGCCTTCTATTCACTCGTATACATGAAAAACTACTTTTATTTTATTACTCAACGTGTAAATAATATATAATTAGAAAATATAGCTACCTTATATTAAGCGAAAAATTGTGGTTATAGTTTAAGATTGACACTTACAGATGTCGTCGTGATACAATTTTCTGGTCAATTTTTCGTCGCACAATTTGCGCTTTGTGTATCATCTATTTCCTTTTTATATACAGACATATAATATACTATAATAAATAAAGAAATAATCATCGAATTTTTTATATATGTTAAGCATATCACAACGATGCTAATACAATTACATGTCTTATTTGACTTATGTAGTCACAATATCGAACACGCAGAAAAATGCAGTATACCAGAGAAATTTGAAAGAAATATTTATATTTTATTATTAGTTTTCAAATATCCAAAAACATCGAATTTCTCGAATCCAAATATCCTTTTTGAAATAATTTTTTAACTTTAATATCGTATTTTTAATTACAGTTACGATTTACGATTTGAAGAATATTTGGCTGAAATTCGTTTTGGGGCACAACGAATTTGTAACTTCTTTTGAGTTTTTGACAAGCTAAATCAAACGTTTTAAAGCGCGAAGATTATTAAAAATTAGCATAAGTTATTTAAAAAAATCACAAATTTGGTGTTCTGCAGAATAAAGTTCATTGAAATAATATTAAATATTTTATAGAGTATTATCGAGTATTATCGATTATCGATACACCTGATGAGTTACGATTAAAATTCGATCGACATACATATGTGTATGTGTATGTAGCATCTTCGAGAATTGTTTAAAGAACCATTCAACGGTTTGTCGATCGAAAAGGAAGAAAGGGAATGGGAGCAGTGGCAGTTTACCGGGATGGTAAACAGTTAGAATTTTCTTTCAATGCTCCCTTGTTTGAGTGCGGTCGGGAGGAAGGATGCATCCTGTGAAGCCGTCTTTTACTTTCGTACCGATTCTACGTTTACTCGTTTCTGCCTCTGGAGCCGTGTACTCGGAATTCGAACGTAGATGAACGAATATCAACTAGGATAATAAACGAAGAATATTCGAATTATGATGATTTGAGGAATTAATATAATTAATTTAAATAATTTAGGGGAAGCCTGAACTAACAATTCTTTATTTTTTAACCAATTTTCTATTTTTTTTTTAGGAAATGTAAAGTAATTTGGTTTTGAAATTAAATAAGTTTGAGATTAGGTTGGCCGCCATTTCTTAATTTTGAGCGTTGGCAGTTAAGCTTACTAGATTTCTAATTTTTACTGACTACATTAGGAGGAGAGTATTGTGTTTGGTCTTAACGTATGCATGTATATGTGTATATGCATATGTTTATATATATATATATGTTTATTCGAATTCCTGTAATTTAAAAATGCCTTAACTTTAATCAATTCTAACTTTACAGGTCTCAATCGATTCATGCTATTAATTGCAAATGGTATATGGTCATAATAACCATTAAATTCTGTAAATACTGTGGGCGTCTGACTACTGCGTTTTTAAACGTTACCTATCTATAAATTCGGTAACTATATATACTAGCTACTTAAAAATATCTGAATGTGTATACCTTATATTTCTAAGTGAAACAAATACATCTTGTATTTTTATCTTTCTAGTTTTGCGTAATCGGGTACCATTTTATTTTGATACTTATCTTACTGGTAATAAAAGTTTTCAGTTTTTAACGTAAGTAATGTCTAATTTTTTAATATGAATAATTTCAAACTTTCAATATAAGTAATTCGCAACATTTTCCTCTCTCCAATATAAATAATTCCTAATTTCTAATATAACTGAAATGCATCTAGATTAAATATTATTTTTATGTTCTAACTTCATCCTTTCCACTCAAAGTCACAGATTTTTAATGACTTCAAGAAATCTTCGTGGCGTCCCGTGTTCTTTGCGTTCGAACAATAGTGCAGCTGCCTTGAAAGCTTCCTGTACACCAGTTTCACGAAGATCCACCTTAATCTATGAAAATATGCCGCAAAAGAAGCAAACAGCAATTTATTTAACCATGAAATAATAAGGAAGTCGTTCATAGGCTCCTTCCCTAGCGATCCCAACATCCCCTTTCTCGACTGCTTTTCGCCTGGAGACCGCCTCCTGCAAGTAAATCATCGAACCAGGCGCCAGGATACTTTGGTCATGCCTGAAATCCTGCGAAAATAAGACGCACATGTCCGCGACGTGTCTCTATTCCATTCTATATCCTTAGATTTAATCACTAAATTTACTAGATTTAGTAATTTGCAATTAGATTTTACTCTATTTCTCTTGATTACTATATTTGCAATTGAAACATTAGGTATACTAATGAATAATCCAAATTTTTCAGTTAAGCTCATAGTTTATTTAAAAAACAATACAATACAAAAAGTATTGGCCGTTGTTTAACTTTAAGTGATCTATTAGGCAAGTAATGAATTCCACCACGGCAGAATGCTGCGTCTTTAGACAAGATTCAAGCCATTTTTGTATCTGATCCACTAATTGGAAGTGGGTATTGGATAAGGAGACGTGTTACATCGATCGGAAAGGTGGTAATCAGAAAGAGCAATGTCTAGTGAATAAGTTGGCTGCTGCAAGACACCAACCATCATTCATTATGATGCTTTTTGTCATAGAAGCAGTGTGTGGCCTAACGTTGTCACGCAGCAATTTCGTAGAACATCCTGTTAGTGCCCTGACAATTGGATTTTGTATAAAGACCCAACATTATTCCGTAACGGAATTCAATTTTCGGTATTTCTCTTTTCTAAATAGACTTTGAATTTCTCTGGTAAATTTGGATTATTCATTTGTACAGCTAACATTTAGATTAGACTTGAGTTACATACAAAGAATGTTCTCAGATTTAATCTAAGTTTACTAAACTTTCAAATTTGTAATTAGATATTACTATGCTTTTTTTCATAACAATATCTGCAGTTAAAATACTTCAACCACAAGCTAGGATTATATTGAGAAAATAATTCTTTTCATGTTTATTAACAATTCTGTTCACAATTTTGTAAAAAGACGTCAAATATTTATTAATTACACTATATCAGAAGGAAGCATGCAGTTAACAATCCTTCAGAGGATCATTTTGTATAAATTGGTACAAGATGCAGCAGTGTGATTTAGAAGGTCGTGAGTCGATTAGGAACAGTTCGAGGAAACCGTTCCTGGTATCCATTTCCTCAGAGCAGTCGAAAAAACGATTTCGAAAATAATTAACTGGCGGGGACGAGCTCATTACGCGGCTTAATTAGTTGCCACTGGTATTTGTGTTCCTCGAGACTGCCACAGGAAAGCTTGACTGAATCGGCTACCGAATTATGTATGTCGGTGTTCCCGCTTAGAGAACGCGTCTTTTATTGAGTTACCCCGCCTCCGGTTTTCAGCTGCGACCGTTTCCTGTAATACTTTTTCCGCCCAAACTGAAATGCTTCTTTGGTCAAAAAGTATCGTTAATGTCTTAATAAATAAATATTAATAAGATATTATTAAGAAAATAAGATTGAGGACTAATTAGATTTCTGTTTTTATAGATTATGAAAAATACCGAATGAGGAAATTAATCTTTTCTATAAAAGAAAATTATGACTGATTAGCAGACTGCGTATTTATGAGGAACTTGAAAGTGTAAAAATGTATTGACAGCACATAGCATGCAAAATTATATGAAACATTTAACTGTCTTTTCAGTTATAAGTGCTTATGAAAATTTATGTTTACATAAATATCCACCTATTCAAATCATACATACGGATCATAGGTATTTTCAATCTTGCAGTGTCAATTAATTAAATTATAACTTGTCAACTATGATTGCCAACTAAATTGAAAATTTTAAAACCTTGACTTATACTACTATGATTTTCAATCTGCCCAATGATACATGAATATGCAACTTTTAAGTAACGTTGTGTTATTGAAGGTTCAGTTAGAGAATGGATGAAAATTTCGCCGGTTTCTATTTTTATCGACATGTGCCTGCGACGAAGTATAACCAGCAGGGTGGTTCCTTTGCCGGTGTATTTACCTACGTCCCATTGGAGTGGCGCAGCCCGCCGCAAAACGGTTTACTGGCCGCGTAAAACGGAGCACCGTGCCATTGGATCGCCCCCATACAGATATATATACATGGTGTGCGAGTGAGGAGGGTGGAGGAGGTGGTGGTCGTACTTGGCACTAACGACGGACGATTCATCATCCTGGGGGAAAACGAAAGGAGTGACAGAAATTGCGGTGATTTAGTAGGAAAAGACAGAGAACAGATGTTTAACCTTTCCACCGTATCTAGCCCCTGCATAGCCTCTATCTGCCTACTCCGCCGTCCACCTTGTCAGCTTCCAAACGTTCTTCGTTTCAAGTATATATCTATCTCGTGCTGATTTTTGGACAAGACGAGAAATTGCTAGATACTGGGTGAAATATTAGAGTTTCAAAATTAGGAAACTTATGGTAAACTTAGTGATCTATTGGAAATTTATTAATTACTGACTTATTGGAAAAGATTTATACTTATATGCAAAACTTATTTTATTATGTAATGAGTAGATATTATCTTCACATGAATTTTACCTTGAAACTTATTCTAAATACTTTTCTGCAGATTTTAATCAACGTAAGCCTAAAGCGAGTTTCTTAAATCTTATCTGATTCTCTTCATCAATGAATATATAACATTATCAGTGTATTAAATTAAAAAGTCTACTATCCACGAAACGGAGAAGAAGAAACAGAAGAAGAAGATGAAGTAGAAAAACATAGTACAGTCACGGACGCCGATGGCAGGATTTCCATCGAGTTCTCGCGTTCGTAAATAAACCGGTGAAGCGTGGTGGGTCGCTATGTTTAGGTTAGGTGGTTTCTCAGATTTCTGGGATCACCATGGGAGAATGTGACAGGTCTTCCAGCTACCGGTCGGTTGCTTTACGATCACAAGTACGCTTCCAATTCACTGACGACTGCGTTTTAAAAAGAGAAAAGTGAAGAGATAGTAGCTACTCTTTTCCCTTCTAAGAAAGAATCTTTCTTGGTCTTGTAATACATAACTACCTTCGCGGCTTCGAAGTCCCTTTGCACAATTGAATTAATATTATTAACCTAATTCAGTAGTAATAAGATTGGTAACCAAAATAATTAACATTGAACAAGTGGATTTTATAAACTATAAGCTAACTGACTGTCCTATTTGACGCGTAATAGCAAAATCGGTTTGTGCAATAGAAATTTATAATTTAGAACCCGGTACATATCAATGCAATTGGTGACTTATGGTATAAAAGCATCGAAGAAGTTTATTCTCCCGACAGGAACATTGAATCAGGTAATGTATTGGACTGAACTCCTACTTTTAAGTCTTAAACTACTTACACACACGATTATTCAAAATTTATTTCAAATTTTCTCTCAATTAAACATTATAGGTGAAAATGAAACAAACGTCAGAAATTGAATTGAAAATTTCCCCAGAAGAAGTAAGATACCCTTCTAAAATGAAAGGGAAATAGTGAAGACTAGTGAGTATCAGATCAGTTAGTAAATTATTATGCAAATGGCTGGAAGAGATCTATTTTCTCAACGGAAGCATTAAACTAGGTAACACATTCAGGTAGACGTCTGTCCTCGAATCTTAATCTCTTCATACAGCACGATTATTCAAAATTTATTAAAAGTCCCCTCTTGATTCAACACTTTAGATCAGAATGAAATAAACATAAGGAATTGAATTGAACATTCCGTTAGAAGAAGTAAGATTGCGTGTCCTTCTAATATGGAAGAGGAATAGTGGAGGGAATAACATGTCGAAAAGATCGAAACGAACATCCGGTGTATGTTGATTGGCCAAAAGACTGGCGGTTGACATCGTTTTTAGCCAATCGGACAAACTGGGCGTCGCTAGTTGCCGTTTCCTTGCAATAATATTTGCACTGGCTCGTCTAATCCATTAAGCCTGCCATCGGCTGACGTTTGGTAAATTATTTATCGGCTCTCCTCCGATGCTATTTCGTCCCTACTCCGCTTCGCCTGTCGTTCCTCGTCTTTCCACGATGCTTCTTTGAATTTACGATCTGGGAATATCCATACATTTCGCGCCTGAACTCGTTACGAGTTTTCGTGACGTCAGCTGAGCATTACGCGACCATCCCCGCTCTTTGAGCGTCGCCTGTTTCCGCGATAGAACTTCCGGCGTTGTTGGAACTCTGATGTGGGTACTGAGCGTGAAAGCATATGTCAAATTTTAATACTTGGAGTATTTCTGTAAATACTTGGAATTATCTCGCGAATTTCTAAGATTCTTCCGATTATCGGTGATTTGAATTGCAAAAGTGTAGAATCCCAAAATTTAGAGTTGTAAGTTTGGAATCACAATGCTCTTCTTGGTCAATGTCTTAACATAAATATTTTTCGTAGTATGTGTGTACAGTTTGTAGTATAATGATTAATATAATTTTTAAATATTTGATATATACTAGTATATGGAATTAAGTATTTGAGAAATACTCTGTAATTAAAGAAATTATTCTTCTCATTTTTCATTGATATATTAAATTTGTAAATTGAGAAAAATAGGGGAAAGGATTATCAAGGTACAAGAGAGATTTATATACTTAATAGTCAATTTTATTGCAATTCTCGCAATAGATATAAAAATACTGTACATTAGAAAGTCGTGCAAGTGCACGCTGATAGATAGTATTAAAAAATGCACTTTGGCATCGTTTTAAGGAATGGAAATCCAAGTGTCCACATGTCATAGGAAACTTTTTTGTAAAGTTATATTAATTCTCAATAAAAATATATCGAGAATTATATAAATATCCCAGTGGAGTGTAGCTATTTGTATAATTGAAAAGGCCAATCGGAATAAGTCAACAAATCTAGAATAATTTTAAGGAAAATGTTAAACTTGGAAGAAAGTTTTTATCTGACTTAAACTGAGGATCTCCACCGAGGATTTTAATTTATAATTTCTATTCTGATAATATAATTATATTATATATATGTGTGAGAAGAAATTTTTCGTAGGAATTTTATCTTCAATCTAAGTTAGAAAAAAATTCTAATATTTAATAAGTTTCGAATATTTACAGTATTTACAATATTATTTGGTGATAATTCGATGAGGAATAAATTATTGCGACTTCCTGCTACTTGTGATAGTGAAGTTAAGAGTGAACTTGTAAGAAAATATACATGCATTTTATAAATATTACTGTCTCGTTGGTTGAGAATGTACAATTTGGAAGTCTACATAATCTAGTATGTACAGGATTTTTGGTAGATTTAGCTGTATGTTCAAGGCACTCGAGATGTTCTTGAAAGCTTATAATTAAGGAGTTTACTATCATAGAAGGTACAATTTATGTGAAGAATTTTATACATACAGTGGAAAACATTAGCAATCTCGAGCTTTACGTTGTAAATTAGTCCTTATTACTAAATGATCAATGTTAGTTTTTAATAATTTACAATACAACAAAAGTCCCTACATAATTATAGATTTTGCAAACAAACTTACTCGAGATTACTTTACATATATGTGTAAAATAATTTTATTTTCAAAATTCTCGTAGCTCTTATGAGATTAGAAGTTATTGAGTAGCCTAATACCACTTACTTTAACTACGTATATGAAACCCATCTTTGGTTCTATCATTTAGCCCATTTGAAAACTAAATAACAGTATAAAAATCTGACACAATCACCGATGGTTTGCAATTGTACATATTTGCGTGATGCATATTGTTTTAAATTGAGAAAATCAGATCTAAGATATTAACATTGTGCAGGCCTGGATGAACACAGGATATAACATTCAATATTTATGAAAAGTTGACTTCAGTTGAACTAACAAACTAATTAATTGAAAATTACGTTGTTACACCCGCTGTCGAAAATTCCAATTAATAATCTATCATTTTTTAGATATTGAGTATCGAGCCCAGAAGAAATGAAAAAATTGTGCTCGGGTGACTTTGGTGACTAATTTTATTACTGATAAATAACGAAAAGGAATGCACAGGTACTAAATCTTTTTAGTAGAATCTTTGAAGACTAGAAAAAAAAGATTTTTTGAATAGCGAAGAAAAGCTAATTTCTTCATTAATTGCGAATAAAATAAAATGTTATGCTTGGATTCTGGATCACTTACATCTGAACTTTCTTACAAAGAGAAAGATATACTATATTCTTCACTATCAAATATGTATCTTGAAATTTTGTGATATTATACTTGTCATCTCATTTAAATTCTTTAATAACCAATAATACCGATAATTCAAATTCTTAACAGAAATTTGAAGAGATATAATTATACGGAATAAAGAAAGTAAGAATCTTTAAGAAAAATCTTAAAAAAAAAAAAAGTATTTTTGCATGAAACATCTTCCAAAACTGGTATGGTCTTTCAACGAGGAAAAAAGAAGGAACGGAGAAAGGAGAATAGCATTCTGACAGCTTCTCAAGGGGGACACTGATGGCACCTCGTTTGGAGGCAGGCTTTTTTTCACGAAGATTCAGTGCGGCAATAAAGACGCTGGCGGATTTAACGTAGCGTGTCTTCGTTAACCAAGTCAAACGCGGGCTTAACTTTTCCTTCTTGCCTTCTTGGTTTAAAATAACTGTTTGCTTTCGAAACGTTTCACGTAGAAACTCAGAAACAAAGCTCTAACAGAACTTCCATTCTAACTTTATGATACATATCTGGTCAAAAATTGTTCTCTTCTTTGGAATAAAAGAGAATGATGAAGAAAAAGAAGAAGAAATGTATGAGATTCTGACCGACCTATCGGCGCCAAAATGCTCGTTAATGCTTCTCTGCCGGTTGTTTTGTTTAAGTTTCATCTACCCGTCGGAGCAGTTAGAGCTTGTTTCCACAACGTCGAGACGTTAGCCTGCCACGATCATCGAGGCTCGTAAAAAAAACTCGTAAAATTGTAGCAATGACGCTACTGTCTATCGTGAATCTGGGAAAGGAAAATCGGACGAGTTCAGGGAATTCTTGCTGGTGCTTGCTGTATCATTTTGAAATTATTCTGATGTACGTATAATTTTAATGAAATTTGCAATTGAAAAATTATACGAATTGGTAGAAACTGTGTGTGTTAAAATTAAAATGTTAGGAAAATGCATTATAAATGCAACAAGTTTTCTCCTTATCGTTGATGGGACTATTGTATTGTAGAAATTTACATTGGTATGAATTTGTACAAATTACTAAAAGTTGTAGTAGAAATTTAAAAAAAAATCGGCAATATTTGTTTAGAATAGAAATGTTATATTCACAATGTTCTGTTTCTCTAGTTGGCAATTGCAGAACACGCGACCTTGCTGACTTTTCATTTAGAAGCAGAAGCCTCCAGAACCATAAATTCACCCTAATGGACTGGCCAGCGTTTCGAGAGGTAATGAAAGTAGCAAGAGAAAATCATTTCGGGAATCTGGGCAATAATCGGCCATTGAATGACTTCATTGTACGTAGGAGCCCTCTTCCTAATGTTTGCAGGCAAACATCTTAAAAAAGTATCCACTTCAACTATATCTTTTTTGATAAATTCATTTATCACAGTAATACATAGAAAAATAAACAATTATGGAAATTATCAAATCCTTAAATATTCAAACTTGCAAATTAATTAAATATTTCCAATAATTGGATTCATCAAAATTTATAAATGCTTACTTTACTATGAAATTGCAGATATCAAAAACACCAATTAACTAAACGAGAGTAACTATAAGATCATTGTGAACTATGTTTCATCATTTTCGTCATTTAGATTCGTTAAAATTAATAAATCTTCTTAACCAAATTCCAATATCACCGACGTAACCAACATGATGATTTTGGACGATACCTGATCACATTGACGGAAGCGAGAAGAGATCAGTTAATAAGATGCTCCATACGCTTTCACACGGTACAGAAATTGCGGAGGAATTGGCTAGCCGGCCAAAGCCACTCCACTGTTAATAGAGCGACGGGGAGGCGTAAATTATTGGCTTACGTTATATCGTATAGACCTAACCGTTGATCTATAGCGGCGTAAAGTCGACTGTCGCGATTATATTTCAAAGAGCGGTCAATAAAGCACGTCACTGGCCCTCCACTACGAATAATTGCTGTTAATTATTTATGTACAACGGTCAGCAAGTGTGACAGCATCTCTTCACCATCAAATCTTTGGTTTTTCCATATAGATTGCTTCAGAATATAGTATATATCATTTAATAGTAACATGAGAAGTGGAAAATTCAATTTTTGATCTGAAGGATGCTAATCGGTAGACTAGATTGGATGGTCACGATAATTCAAATTTGTATAGATACAACCAAAGATGTAGAAACTAAATATGACAAATGCTTCTTTTGCTATGGATATTCTATATATTCTCGCACGGTATATGCATCCTGTAGATTTTTGCATATTCAAATTTCCTATAGATACAAGTATTCACAGTGTACAAACAATTTCAAACCGTCAATTTATATTATCTTCTTCCGATCAGTCGTAATCTCGTTATTTTCGTGCCAGCGAAAATAAATCCACGCTTCACTTTATAATGAACTTGCGTGATTTCCACCTTTTTGTGATAATATGTTATATTGCTTAACCTACAATATCGTGCGAGAGACGTGGTATGTTGATTGGGCTAAACATAAACAACACGTGCGAGAGACGTGTTACGTCGATCAGGCCAAACATAAATAACACGTATGAGAGACTTAGTATATCGATGTTATTGATTTATTATTTATTTCAAGATAATAAATCTTTCTTGTTCAATGCTCAATCGGTAGTAACTACTTATCAAACATCTTGCAAATGAAAATTAGTTGTATCTTACACATGCATTTACATATCAGAGGCGACTGTACGATTTACACAATTTCGAACGTTGTTGTTGTTTACCACACGCTATTTGAACTTCGTGGGAATTGTACGGCATGGGGATTAAATAATCGTCGAGCCTTCTCGAAGCTCTGTGTCCTGAGGTTTATGGAAGTATTTACACAGTGTCCAAGCGTTGATTAAGGGTTTTAAGTAACTTTTACCTTGTTGAGCGTGACACAGACTTCTCTAGACATTAGAATTCCAGTCGTCTTCCATTCTCCAAACGCTAAAAGCGTACGAGAGTTTCTCGTGGGCCATGTAACTGCACGACGACGAAGTTATTTCTCTGGCAGCTAGGACAGCGCTTCTTGGATTTCTTTCGCCTGGAAGAAGACAGGAAATCGAGCTTGATTAATTCCCTCTGGACTTCATCCTTGGACCGGTGTATACTGTAAGGAATGAAATTCCGAGTATTGGAACGAGAAATGTCGAAAATTCAGACTCTCGAATAGCAATGTTTGAAATTCCAGAAATATGCAATCGCGAGGATAAGAATGGCAAAATTTAGGCTCCAAAAAGCTTAGAATTGTTAGAAAAATTTAGAATTCTAAAGCCTGGGATTGCAAAAATTTGGAAGCCCAAAGCTCAGAATTGTAAAAGCTTAGAATTTCAAAGTTAAAAATTGTAAATGTTTGGTATCTTAAAACTTGCAATTGTGAAAGTTAAAAATCGCATAGTTGAGAATAATGAAAATTGAAATTCCAAAGCTTGTAATACCAAATTTCAATATCTTAGAAGCTTACAATCCCAAGAAGAATTCTCGATGTTATTGAAACTCCAAATATTGTAACAGGAAATACTAAAAATTTCAAAGCTTGCCTCTATACATTGGGATGAAAAGTAAAAGAATGAGAGCTGAAGGATCCATGTTCCGGCGCAAGCAAGTAAAAAGAATGCACGTCGAGACGAAGGGAGAAACGTCATGGGATATCAGTTAAGCAAAGTGAAAAAGAAACATGGAAGAGCGGTATTCGCGGTTGCAGCGCTGAAAACGGACCAATCGTCGTCTTCGGGACAGTTAGCGTGTCTCGATATCTTTAGTCACCTGAAGTTATGGTATATCGTCGCCATTTGGTTTGCACTAGGTCGCCTTGTACTATGTCAATCCTGGCTAAGATATTGGGATGCAAAAAAGCTAACAAAGACACGTTCCCCCTTGCTACGATATCGACAGAAGCTGTTTTTGCTCCGAGAAACCATCATAAATCTCATAAAGACTTTAATTTTAAGCTGGAGAGAGATACCAAAAAATTGGCAACTTTATTTTCACCTTTGTTTAAGAAGACTATGGATGTATAAATTAATGTTGAAATTAGGATAAGAGATCAGTCAGCTTGAACAATAAGACAGGTTTATCTATCTTTGAAAACCTTAAACATTCATTTTTAATAAGCTATTCTAAGAATGATCTAATTTACTATAAAACTTTTTTTTAGGTTCCATCGCAGATATCTCAATCTCCATTAACTGAACAACGGCAGAAGCTTAATTTATCCTTAGAAACCATGTCATGATAATTTCTTCTATGTTCTATCACAAATATTCTCAATTCTCATCCAAGATAATACGAAAGATCCAGCAAACGTGCTAAACATGAATTAGGAAACTAAGTAACCTGAACAAAGAAGAAGAGATAAATTGTTTCATGTAAACAAATGCAGCTTCCAGAAGCTTCGTAGAAACTTTAGATCCCCTGTTTGCTCACCTATCAATTTATAAACATCGTTTGGCTGATGACAAACCGAGTCGAGTGAGGAAAGATGTTTACCTGAAGGACTAGCTCCAGGAATGACACAGCTACTTAACATGGTTTCTGACATTCGAATCGGAGGACCACTTCTTCATGGGGGTCTGTTTAATTACGGGACTACTTTAAACAAACGCGAGCTAGTTTCTATAAACATGTGCTCTTGGCTGAAGAAAGGTACCGACGGAGACTTTGCTACTTGCTATCAAGCATTGCTACTTCGATATTCGGATATGTTTGGAGATGTGTAATACACCATTCATCTTGATAACAATGTTTTTGTATCGGAACTGAAGCGCTCAAGTAGAAGAAACGAGTCGATATTTATTTTCACATAAAAATTGAATATGTTTGAAAGAATATTAAAAATTGAAAAATTCGATTTATCATCAAATTGTCATATTACTATATTCTTAGTAGTTTGTTAACTTTCAATTGTTTAATTTTTTTCAAAAACATTCTTTATATTGGGCCAGATTATTAAGATTTCAGCTCCGAAGATTCTAAGATTTTACTTATTTCAATATCTGAGTTTCAATGTTAGAATCAAAGAGTTTGGAATAAAAAGAACAAAGCGATACTGATTACATACTTCAAATTGCTTTCAAAATACATACATAAATTGAAGGAATGCGAACTAAAACTCCACCAGAAGACTCACCACCATCCTCGCCGCCATCGGTGTTTTCCGTGTTGCAGTGCAACACCTGGAACAGGAAGTCGATATACCTAGTGGCCAGTTTTAGCGTTTGAATCTTGCTTAACTTGTCACTGGGCAACGTGGGTATGATTTTTCTGAGCGCAGCAAACGCCTCGTTCAAACTCTGAGTCCTCTGTCTCTCCCTCACATTTGCCATCACTCTCTGAATGTGTATTTCTTCAGAAGTTCCACTCTTTCTTCTAATATTCTTCGTTGAGACTACACTGTTTTCACTACTGCAAGATTTTCTTTTTCTTCCATAAGTTTTCTTCTCTACTTGCTTGCACCTCTGCTCTATATCAGGCTTATATTCAATCGCCTCCATGTGATGGTAGCCCTGTTGTGCTTGTCTAGGTGCCATCTCTTCACCTCCGGAGGAGTACATCTGTGGTGATGGTGTCAAATAAAGACTTTGTTCATGATCTCTGCTATGGTCTGATAAGAATCCTGGGGAATTATCATGGGGACGCCTGTCATAATCGGTCTGAAGCTCTCTCAGGATCTTGCCATTGGGATGCTCCTGGTACCTTTTCTCGCCAGAGTTTTCATACATCAAATAAGTAGGTTCTTGATAGACCACTTGGTGGTGGTGATGATGAAGATGATGATGGGCTTGATATCCAAGCTCCTCGTCATCTCTGTGTTCCGGAGGGCTACTGAGATCCATCAAATGTTTTGAAGGTGAAAATCTCTCGTAATGATGAGGAGAATTGCTAGCAGAGCTGTCAGCGCTATGTGGAATGCCAGAGCTGTCGTTGTTATCTAGAAGATAAAGTCCTTGGATCCTCTGCGCCTGAAGACTCACTGGCTGCATATTTGAAATCCACTTTGCAGCTATTTTCAACTAATCACCACTGTTGGATACACTGTAAAGGATACTATATAACGGTACACGGGGTAGAACGACTGGTGGCTAAGGTTACCAATAAACATACGTCTCTGCTCCAAAGTTCAGAGTCGTCTGAAGGAACCGGCCCTCGGACTGCCTCTTCATGTCAACCAGGAACCCCGCCTCCGGCTATAGAACCGTACCCCTACCCTTCACCGCGTACTGCTCCCCTACCTGGCCCCTCTGTCTTCCTAACCTAATCCCTCCCTCGTTCTGGGACGGTTTCTTTTATCCGTCGCGTCCATCAGTCCCCACCCACGAGATTCCTCTGTTGGAAAGAAAAAGATGCACTGAAAGGGCGTTTGGGAGGTTGGAGAACGCGATCGGGCATCTACAAAGTTGTAGCCATTATCAAAGAGGTAGACAGACCCGGGAGGGGAGAGATGAGATGGGTGAAAGTGGAATTTGGACACTTTCAGACGATTTATATTTTTTTCCCATTTAGTTCCCCTGATTTATCTCTTTTTTTTTGTAATGAAGTCTCTTCGCTTCTTGTATAAAGAAGAGATTCGAGTGCATGAGAGTATAGTTTTGTATTTGTGAGATATGCTACTTAAAGGTTTGTTTCATCTGAGTATTTGGTTTTCAGATCTTGTTGATGGAGATTTTATAAAGTTTTATGCGGAATGATTGATGATCTCTCTGTGTTGCCTCGGTGATCTTGATCTGCAAGAGTGGAGAGGCTAGAAAGACGGAGTACAAGTTGGCTGGATGATGTGTGCGACAGAGATGGTAGGCTGTGAGTAGGGAGAAGAAGTGGAAAGGGAGATATGATGGAGAAGGATAGAAGGCTCGAGGGACGACCCATGTTGAATATTTATATCGTGAGGAGCCAGTGAGAATAAAGCGGGGGATAGCCAGGAACACGCTCCGATGTGCGAAACTTTGCATTCACTTGGCGCGAAAACGCGCGATTCCTCGGCTTCCTTTCGTTTACTCATCATTGTGATAGCGTTCCTTTCTTCGAGTATGAATCTTTCTTCAGATCCCTTTTTTTTTTAACGCCATACATAAATCATTTATTGATGCCCATTTAATCATAACTAGATGATAATGAACTATCATACAATATCGACTCATCTCTACTAATTCATCTCATCTATTTTCAATTTTAGCGTCCATAGTTCAGTATCTTTTACAATTATATTCTCCCAATTTGCTTCTTTTATTATTTCTCTACGTAATCCTTATTAGGTTTAATTATCCTGATCAGTCTAATTATAAACCACCCCTAAAATATCAATGTACCTCTACTAATCCGTTTCATACATCTTTTTATATTGGTTATATCCTGGAAGCTGCCTGAACATATACTCCTCCATGCTCTACCACTTGCATACATGGATAAACCAAGCACCATAAATCTTCTCAAGCAACAATGGTGTAACTCGAGGCATCAAGTATCGGCGCCCAGGTTCGCAGACGTTTTAATCGAGGGTAGGCTGAGATTGGTGTGTTTTCGCGGATTGAAATTAATGCATCAGGCGTGGAACGATTGAAAATCACGCGTGGAAGAGCACAACTCCAGCGTGGCGAGGTTGGGTGATGGATGACCAGGCTGGATTGCCGAGACGTGTTTGTTGTGACGGACGAAAGCTCTTTTGAAGGTGTCTATAAATTCCGCGTTTCGAGCTTCCACGGGTTCCACGGTTTTCCTACCCGGTGCCGTGATTTACCATTCCCCGTCCAGCCACGCCTGTGTAAAATTTAGTTGTGGGGGTGGCGACTAAGCCAAATGAATCTCTAAATTAATCAGGAAAATCTGCTTACGCTAATTCCAAACTTTTACTGCGCTAAATTTCTTCTATGATTCGTATATTTCTCGTTGTACGTTGTTTCGGTTAATGTTTTACATATAACTAAAGTATATAGTCTTTTTGTTATTTTTAATTTAAATATCAATCTAAGTCTCTGTAACAATCAGTTCATGTAATGTTCTTCTAATTTCGAAAGTTTTGTTTTCTCAATTTATTTTCTCTAATATGTTATTCATCTGTTTACAGTTTCTTTTTACATATACAATGAGAAATTTTTCATAAATTTTTGGAATACAATTTTCCCATAAATTGTTACACGTATTACAATGAAAAGTACACGAAGATTCATTTTCAGTGAAACGTACGTATTCTTGGCTCTGTAGACTTAATTTCTAGGTTTATTATCAATTTCTTCCTCCATTACAATCTTTCACAACTAATAACAAAAATTCTCATTTCAAAGTGGAATTCTCATCTCATTCTCATCTTGCAAGAACATAACCTCAAAGAGTAAGCATTATTACATTAAAATACTTCCATGTCGTCATTAATAGGTGTTAAACCAAGGTAGCAATCTATAGAGAGACTTTCGAACGTTTGAGGAAGTCTCAGAGCAAGCGTCTGGGTTTGTCGTCAACGTCGGAACACGTTTATCGAAAGTGAAGACATTAGCGCGGCTTCATCGTCTCTCCCGTTCACTTCTGGGAAGCGAAACGACCAAGCAGAAAATCCCGGATCCTGGCTCGTGGCCAACTGAAAATCAGATCGCCAATAAAGAGGCCGATAAATAACGCGGCCAAACACCAAAATAATACTCGTTGCTGATCAAAGTCGAATAACTCGCGGCGTTTTCCTGACCCCTCTAGCCTTCCCTTGCAGCTGAAAACCTCGAGGGGTTTGGCCACGAATCGACCTGATTTTTTGACACTTCTACGCTTATACATACAGTGCCTCGTGAAAGTATGAATTATTACAAGGACTCGACTTATCATAGAAAATATTTATGTACACACCTATTAAACATTGTAAAGTTTCATTATCGCTATAAAGAGACACGACTGTCGATTATATTGGCAAAAGGAGATTAATCTGAAGATGTATATAGAAATCACGAGATAATGGCTTAGTAATATTAGATTGTTTAAAACGTTCCTAACATCAGAAAGTTAAAGAAAATTAATGTAGAACTTGAATTTTTGCCATCTATAATGAAACAAAAGGATTAAAATATATTTTAAATATTTGCAGGCAGGAGAAAAAATTAATATGAATTTGAGTCACATAACATCATAAGACATTAAGGTATTTTTATTATTTCTTCTCCTTAGAAGCTTTTTTTATTAGTTAGAAATGAGAATACACGTTTCGCAATGTAGTAAAAGATACTTCAAAAATTTGTAGGAGACGAAATTAAACGAGCATCGTTATTCAGGGTCTCCAGGAGGAGAGCTCATCTACGCAGCACACAAGGGGTTGTACACGTGCGTGCGCGTTCCTGCCGCACGCACCGTTTCACGATATTAACGCGGGCTTAATTGCGCGTACTGGGGCGCATTTAATCGGTGTACATGCGAATGTGTGCCTCGTCGTGCACCGCTGCAGGTTAAGAGTCTTCAGAGGCTCCTTTTTCTGCCAACGACTACGTTTTATGGCTTGCCCATGCCTTCGTCGAAACAAGAAAACAAATTGATATATATTCTTCTTTCTTTTCTTCATCTTTTTCTATCCCTTCAAGAAGGACGGTTATATTTTTCTGTATATATATGTAAAAAATTGTTTGAAAATACCAAGTTTCATTTAAAAAGTAGATTACGTTTCATCTTCAAAAATTATTTAAAAATTCCTGGTTTCAAGATCAGGCTGCAGTAAGCAAAGACGTTTTATATTATTAGCAAATAATACAAGCAAAAAAGTTTTATATCATTCCAATTACGTATTTACTGTGATAGGTCCTTGATATCCTTTTAATTATGTTAATATTTTAGGTAATATAACTGTTAGAAATTGGAGTGGATATCCAAAAAGTTGAGCAATACTGGCACAAGATGATCTAGATTTAGGATCTAGAAATTTCCGTGGAGAGAGAGAACTTCTTTCAGATAAACGGCTACGTGCTATTTCTACCTGTTGGTAATGGTACCTGATTAGAGACAAGGGTCACTCAACTTAATTCCTTGAAAGCGGCGCACGGTCGCTGTAAATCCGATTTTGTGGAAATTTACGAGTCACCTTGTTTACAGTTACTGCCGTTTGCAGTGATTAAGATCTCCGGTGTGCCAGGTTGAATCCAGCCACCAGCAAAACTATTAGCACCTGGTGAGAGGCGAGCATCTTCGACAAGTCCTCCATCATAGTCATAAAACGGCACTGGTACGTCTACGACCATCTAACCGTTACGACGGGGAATCCCAAGAAGCTTATTCCGAAGTGATGGTTAGTGTTTAAATAAATGAATTATGCGAAGGCGAATGTAGTGGATTTTTATTGAAAATATCAAGAAAAATATTTCTAAATATGCTTAATGCTGCAGGTGATTGACCAAAGATTAACTTGATCGAGGAAATCTTCCATTTTGCAAATCTTCCTTATTCTAAAAAAAACTTCTCCCAAGTTGCATAACACATTCTCAACGCGAGAATTGATTGTAATTTCAACAAATAAATAAAAAAAAAAGAAAAGTTGCATAACACATAGCTTTCAAGTCTACGGACGTTTATGCTAGCCTGTGAAGAATGGACGGCGTACATTGTGGCAATAGGCATGGAATAATGGCCCATGTGTCGTTACGTCGAGTCGACCGTGCCGTTTGTGAATTGCATTTACGAGCAGAACGGAAACTCGGAACATGTGTTCGCGACCTGCCGAAAACTCCCTGGTACAGGCACGTGTTTCCTTACAGGGAAAAAGGTAAAAGACGGGAACTTGTCCCAGGACATCAGCATGTTTTTCCTGCCATTCAAATCTTCTTATGCGACCATTCATACTTGTATAATTAACGAACAGGTTACGAATAATATCTTCATACTTGAATTTCTGCAAAATGTAACATTAAATAACTAATTTAATGGCTAATCCAGAACAGCCGCCAATTGGTAATGTGTAATTGATAATTGCAATAAATGCAATTGACTGGTGATAATAATTGAGTATTGAATATTGCCTATTCTCATTCAGTCAAGATTATTTTAAATTTGAGGCCATCGTCGATTCATAATATTATATCACTATTACAAGAAAAACTAATCTGGGAAAGTTTCAAATACATATACGTTTGATTATACCAAGCATCACTTCTCAGTCATTTTATTAGCAGTGTAATAAGAATTAATATCAATTAAATTGGTGCTTATAATTATTAGAGACTGGCAATCTTCATGCATTTATAGGAAATTTAAAAAACGTGAAAATGTATAGAAGGTGAAATGTACAGATCATTGTTTAGATTATATTTCTTCGTCTATGTTTATGTCTATGTCTTTATCTATGCTGGTCCTTGAGGACGATACTTAATCTTTATTCAGGAAATTCATTCATAAAGCTTATAAAATTTTCAGATTGTGTACGTGCCCCAAGACTATGCAACTTTCCTACCTCGGGCTTATTGCTGTTACTCGGGATGACGGTACCGTGTGTTCAACACATGGCGAAGACGATGGCACCGGTGCAAACATTGTAGAAACTATCTGTCGGCGTGGATCGTAAAGGCAACGTTTATAATGCGCATGGTCTAGTCCCAGGGACATTTTGTGCACATGGGCAATAACGGTGGCTGAGAAGCCATAAGAGACATTGTCGTAGTAGAAGTTCCAAGTTTACGGACCGAAAACCGACGAGCACTCATTCCGTTCGTGAATCAAGATCTTCGTCTTCCAGCATGTCTATCGTTCATTGTGATTAACCTCATCGTGGATGCACTTAACCACGTTGTAGGGATTTTACTATGTGTAGCTGAACGATTGCTGATGTTCAAAATGATGTTCAGCTTGTTCTTCAGTTATTTTCGGACATTTCTATTATTACTGAATCGTAGGTTTTGTCCAAGTCCGATCTTCTGAGGTAATATCGATTTTAACGAATCTCTTCGCTAACAAACTTGATTAGTTTAGTCCTGTACTAATAGTATGCTGTTTATTAAAAGCAATGGTTATCGGAAATAGCGGCTGTGTTAACGATAGATTTAATATTAGAAATAATACAGTTCATTCTAGATTGAACTAGTCAAATTTGATACTGAAGAGATTTGTTAAACTTGGTACATATTAACTATACTGGTCCATTACATCGTTTCAATTATTTAACTTGTCTGTTAATCTTGTTAATTTCTCTAGGTCGCTTGTAGAATTGCGAATTTAAAACAATGTGTAAAATTGACGCCGTTGATGTTGTTTGATGATAACCGTAGACGAAGCAGCAGGTATATTGAAAAGATTTGGTAGATTGTAAATATTAAAACAAGTCACGGTGAAAGGACTTGTGATCGGTAAAAGTCCGTATTTCAGATTAGGAGCCCAGAAAAATACGTTTAGAACAATAGGCAGATTATTAGCTATTGGTTTTCTAATGTTCACGTATATCATTATGTATATATCTTAATGTATATAGGGTGGTTGGTAACTGATGGTACAAGCAGAAAGGGGGTGATTCAACGTGAAAAAAGAAATCGAAAATATAGAATAAAAATTTTTCGTTTGAGGCTTGGTTTTCGAGAAAATGAATTTTCATTCGGTGCGCGTGCACTTTATCACGTCTCGTTATAACGGATCTCACTGTAGATCGTTGTCTCGATGGAAAAATTAAAAAAAAAAATTTTTTTTATTCTACATACCACCAGTTACCAACTATCCTGTATATCACTTTGACACAAACTGAAATGTTCTTTGTCTTTTTCGCAAGGAAACAGCTTATACAATTGGATATAGAATTATGAACATTTTGTACATTCTATCAATCAGTTTGAATTTATTCACTGACAGAGTACAAATAATTTCATGTTCTTTTGATCAGTTTAATGACAGTTTCAGAATAACTTGTTGCCAATAATGACGTATAATCTATAGAAGCACAGCATGAAAGGTAAAACAGGAAGAGTGGCGTGGATAAGCACTTTTATTAGCAAGTCAAGAGGACCTGCATTGTGAGAAGCACTTGTCGCCATTCAAGAATCATAGACCATTTGACTCTGGTCTCGTGCCTACTTTGAATCCTGTTTCCCTCCTATTCAACAAGACTGCTTGCTTTCTTCCTTTCTGATGAAAATTCGAAGCATCCTCTGGATAAAGAAATATTCTTATGTAAAAAAGAATTTTTTATTTCTACGCCTATATAGAAATATTGCTCCTCTTTTGATATTCTTATTCATAAAGATTATTTCACGGTGAAGTATACAGATGAAAATTTTCTACCTTACATTATTCCTAAGCTTTCTATACTTCTCTATAAGACAAAATTAAGTTAGATATCAACATTAATCGATTGACCAGAGTCTCAGACTCATAGTCTCAGAATAACAATTTTTATTGTAATTTAATTTATTATTTTTTAGATGTTTCCCTAGAATCATGGGTTCTGCGAAGGTAGCTTTTTCACGAGAGACTGGCTCTCTCTCTCCGGCTCGCGCTACCTGTTTGCACTTCACTGACCTTCCTGCAATCCTGGCGAACACATGTCAGGATTCTGCCAATTATATAAACTGGAGAAATTTGGCAAGCACGTGCTGATCATATGGTACGGTGTAGGTTTAATGAAATTCCAGTCACGTTGCTTATGTTTCCTGTATTGCTTGGCAATTATTCTACCATCCCAAAAATCTGGAAGTGTTTTTGAAACGGCAGGAAGATTGCTTACATAAACAGCAGGAGATGTGCTTGGAAAAATCACAGGTAATGTACGTTTGAACATAATTTTTAATTACAAATTATTGAGATTACTAGTATTATGATTTACCAATTAAACAGCAATACCGAGCTTATATATTGTCCTTTTTTTGGAACAGTTTTTGAATGGAGAATAATTCTGGAATTAAATATTTTAATTTTAGAATATTTTTCACACTTAAATGTTAATCCCAGTATTAAATATTAACTTCGAAATATTTTCAAATTAAAAATGAATCCTCCACTACATTAAATAGCAATTCCAGAGTAAAGAAGAATATTAAGTAGTAAAAATATCCAACTGCCTACATATAATTTCTCACGTTCCCGTTTTCTTTGTAGCAGGTTCTTAAAGATCTAAGGATTAATAAAGGTGGATCATCCGCAGAGTTTAGAAGGATGTCCCGCTAGCTCTAACAATTATGTTACAGAAAACTTAACAATAAAAGTGATTATCCTCGTAGTGGTTGGCTATTAATAAGCTTTTGTTGGCCTAAGCTCATAAATTATAACGGCCAATTTAGAAAAACTTAGGGATACATGATTATCGACGCGTGCATGCAAGGACTATGTGAAAACATTTTTGAGAATTTTCAGTAATTGTGAAAACATGAAATTCAGAAAGATTACGTGCTTTTACATTCTAGAAAGAAACAATCAATTGTCACGAAAAGCAATTGATTATTAACTTTTTAATTAACATTCTCTACAATTGGTTCTTAACATGTCTAATTTTCTATATTATATTCCAAATATTATTAAGAATTTTCAGGAATAAGATACATAGAAGCAATAATTCAAACTTATCAGTAAGAGATTCTGTTCCCCTAGTAGGTCCTAGCAAAATTCCTTAAAAAAACAAAAACAAACTGAATATAATAAATTGCTGGTACTTGGGGAAATACGTCTTTCGCATAATCGCTACTTTTGGTATACAACGGCTATTAAAGTTTCCTTAATCCAGCTATGTCTTGTTAGCAAGAAAGAGAAAGATTCTTAAAAACTGACCATAGGTACGTGACAGGTACAGATAAATGAATTTATGATAGCTGGTTTTCCCCAAGTTCCAGACTTTCTACGTTCGGTTCAGTTAGATATTCAACCGTTCGAAACATTTTAGTATAACCTCAACATATTTGTTGGATAACTAATCAACCTACAAATACAAGCAGAAAGATGATAATTGAAATTAAAAAGAGGAGAAATAATCAAATGAATTGTTCAAGATGATGTTCAAAAGAGAAAATTATCGATATATACCTAAAGTGATGTGAGATTATTACTACACGATATTTGGCGATAAAAGAGGTATGTAATGAATATTATGTTATGAGAGGTAATAACGATTAGATGAATTTTTTATAGGTTATATTTAATAGAATAATTTAATAAATATATGAATAATTAATAGATGCTTCGACGAACTTGTTAAGTGATTAATCAATCTCAATAGACAGATTCATTAATTAGATTAAATGATTAGATATGAATTTTTGTATAGGTTATGTTTAACAGAAGGTTGCGAAATTGTTGAAGATATTGTTAAATTATTTTCACGATATTTGGCAAGGGAAGAGATAAAAAGTAGCGCGTTATGGGAGTCATGACGACGATCAGGGTGGTCCTCTCTCACGGTTCGAGAAACCGCGTTCTGGAACCGATGTATACACGGTGCACGCGTCGTCAACGGGGACGTCTACGTCGCGTCGTGGATGCCGCGCTGCCAGAAAGAAAGTCGACTCGAAAATCAAACAAACAGCCGACGACGCCGCGTTTCTGCACTTCCGTCGTCGCCGTTTGTTTATTGTCGCTGAGGGATCGCTGCCCTGGTGATCCGTGCACCGTTTAATGCCGCGTTTCACACATTATGTAATTCTTTCACGTGCCAGTTACATCCAAAATCATTTGTTCTTTGAATAATCGCAGTTATCTTCGATATTGTTAACAGTATTATCTTCTTTGGATCATCTTTTACTTAATCCTGTTACTCTTCATTATTATCAACGAAGAAAATTAATGATAGTAATGCTGAATGAAGTTTGACAAGGATGCAACAGATTTCATGAGATTTGCCTCGTATGTTAAATTTTGAATCTGTTTTTAGGAAGATAACATCGATGGAAGAATTCGAGAAGTATGTATTTTTAAAGAAGATGGTAAAAAAGAGAAGAGATTAGGCTGTAAAGAGAAGAAATTGTGAAACGTCGATTCTTTACAGCCTTGTAAGACGGACCTAATGAAACGTAATTCATTCCCATGCACCTTGAGGAGACATCGTCTGGCGAACACATGTCCCCATTGGATTTTATCCATTAGGAAAAAGTGCGCCCTTCGTCGCATGACATTGGCCGCCGTCGAACATTGAAACTCGAACTCGCTAATTCTCCAGATGCTGGCTCGACTCAAAGGGTTATTAAACATATTTTTATGTTCGCGTCGATGGAAATATTTAGACCCCCAGGGCGTCATCTCAGCCTCAAGTGAGGCTAAAATTATATATTTTAATTTAATTAGATAATTTTCAATTAATGACTAAGTTTAGTATATATATATATATAATTAATATTATAATGAATGTTATACTGATTGACTTGACAATCTTACCAAATATTGAACATGTCCTAGAAATGAACATTTATTTATCTTTCGTTCTTACTAAATATTTCTTCAATAATGTTTATGTATAGTAGTAACCTATACAATATACTATACTACAATATACCTATTCTGTAATAAGAATTTGTTAAGAAAGAGATTCAACGATTCAAAAGCATGTTCCTATAAATAGATGAGTATTATTAATAATATAACGAAGAATATTTATGTAATCTTTCGTCTATTTATTAATGGAATATAAATCTAATTTTTAACAGAGTTGTCCTCCTACGGAGAAAATGGATAGCCGTCGGCTAGACAAATTGAGGAAAACAGTTGTCTGATAGTCACATCTGTTCCCGGATTATGAGCACGATAAATTTCAGCCTGTGAAGCTAACAGCCGGATTAGCGAGCGTTGTCGCGGTGTCAACGAGGTGCTTTCACCTTCTATCTTGTAATTTGCGAATCTTACATTCTTCTCTAATAACTTCACTACAATAACATTATTTATGTAGGAACTAATGTACCACATTTTCTTAAACAATTGCTATACTATTCTTCTAATTATGTCTTCTTTACAAAAATGTTGATCAACTAATTTGTTAAATTTTCCATATTTATTTTAGCACAATCTTCGATCATTTTTGGCAACAATTTTTGGACAATTATGATATTTATAAAAATATATAGCTTTCGTTTTATTACATTTTGATGCCTTTTTGTAGAGTTAAGTACAAGAAGTACGATCTTTTGGGAACGTCGATGTCGCAAGAAGAGCGGAAATGAAAGAAAACAGCGGGCACTGTTCGCAAACACAGAAGCTCGTCAAGAGTCCCTGGACTTATTGTCTTCGCTGTTCTGCCACGGCTACCTACCGTGCATGTGCGGATTCTGTACGCATTTCAGAAATGCCTACTTCAAACACACGTGTTCGCCATCAGGTTGCCCAAGTGGTTGCTTGACCTTCGCACTTTTACTTTTTGAACTCTTTCCACTAGATCTCTCTTTTATCTTACAAAAATGCTTTATCTTCACTATTAAAGTATCATAAATTCCAAGAAGGATTCTTCTAACAGTTAATTAATTTTTAGAAGATAATAACAATACAACAATAACAGTGAATTTTTCGATGCTAGATTTTGTAAGAAATTATATTTTATTTTCCTAAATAATGTCTTTGGTATTACGCTTATTAGTAAAATATTTTATTTTCATAATACGTTTATTTAATACTTTTATTTATGAAACAGTATTGGTCTGCATATAATTTCAACTAACCCCAATCATTTTTATGTAGACGACTTTTTTGAATCGAACAAGAGGTCAGAGGTGACCACCATGGACTCCGGATTGAATTTCCGAATCAACGTCTTCGAGGAGGTATTAGCCCCACGTGAATACCGTGGTCCCCGATGTCGAGGCCGTGAATTGGAAAAAAAGGGCCTCACGGATCGTTGTGGCCTGGTTGGGCCTCTGGAATCCTCAGTGGGGGTCCCACGGATGGGTTCTTTCGTTTTTCTCTCGATCCCGGAGGAATCATTGTCGTTTCCTCTGCTCAACGCTTTCTTTCAACGTTTTCTCATGCCTCCAGTCTTTTTCATATCGAGCAAGTATTTCCTAACATAATTGATTAACAATTACTATAATCTACATATATCTAATACAGGGTGAACAATATATAGCTGACTAATTTCAAAATCCCATCACTCCGGAACGATGTATCATTTTTTGTGCCGCACTAGAAATTATGTTATGCAAAGTAAACAAAAAGCCATCCATCAAGGATGTACACAGTTCTGATGACATCACACTTGATATATGGGAAACAAATATGAAGTTGCACTACAATTTTACGAAAGGAATTTCTATCTAATAAAAGCAATGGACAATTGTATATAATATATATACATAGAATAGACTTCTATTATAGTGAAAAACTTTAATATACAAGTTACTAAAATTTATGGTGTATCAATCTTAAACTTTCTTTTGTCCATTACTATATCTATTAAGTATTTAATAATTGTTCTTTCTATTCTAATGCTTTTTAATTATAGCAGAATTGAACTACAAAGTAACGAAGAAAAGTAGGAGCAACGTGATAATGAAAAAAAAAGAAAAGCCAGGAAATTTGAAACTAGTGATCCATTATGCAGCAAAGATATGTATGTAATTTGAAGTAAAGTAAATAATAATAGAGAGGGGAGCAATGTTTTTTTTAAACTCAGCAAAGCTAAGCTGAAAAAAGAAGAAAAGTAGAAGTAACACGGCAGCCAAGCAAAAAAGGAGGAAAGCTGAGAAACAAATGTTGAAAGTTGAAACTAATGGCGGAGTCGAGGCTACTAATTGCCATGGAAATTTCGCAGGGTCTGGTGAATTCGTTCAGGAGGTCCCGTGGCACAGTCGAGGTCGAGAGTTGAATCTAAATGATCCTGGTTCTCGGAAGGAGAGGACCATCAGGACACGCGACACTTCCCAAGTCGAAGGAAGCGTGCCCTTTCTTATTTTTTCCTCCTGCTTGGAACCCTGTGGTTGCTACGGGCCCCTGGAATCATCCTGGTGAAAGATTCATCGTTGCTGTTTCAGCGGACTCTGTATATGTTACCAACTGATGCAATTTGTAGATCTTTGATAAAAAAAAAAAAGGAGAAAACCAGTCTCCAGGGGTGAATTTTACAATAGAAATGACATAGGAAACAAAATCAATAACATAAGTAAAGTATCAAGTCAACTACTGATAATATCAATGTATATAGCTTTTAAAAATATTAGATAAAACATACAAAAATGTGGATAGCCTTAATAAATATTAAACATTATTAAATGTTAAATATTAAATTAAATATCAGTGTCAATAATATTGAGATATATTAATAACAATAATTATATTTTTAGTTTGATTTATAAGAAGATAAAAAGAAGAAATGTGTGTTGTATGTGGAGAAAATCACCGACGCCATTTTCTTTGGAATCCCCTTCATCTGGTCCGGACCAATTGTAAACGAGTCTCACCTGTACATTACCTCTCACCTGTGCTTTAGTCTCCTATTGGAGGATTAAGAGCAGGTAACAGGCAAGTGTCCCCACTAAGCTGTAATGGAGCTACTAGTACAAAATGAATCCTCTCTGGGAAGAGGAAAGTATTCTGTTTCATTTTCAAACATAAATTATCAATTTTTACTAATTTATTTAATTATATTATTTAATTATTTTTTCATTTTTCTAGTGCAAAAAATTTCTTGAATTAAAAGAAGCACGGATTTATCAAGATTGATGTAAGCTAGTGGTTTTTCCGTATTGGAAACTGGAAATATATGTATAAGACATTTGTGACCAGGTGTGAAAGACGTTTGCACTTGCATCCCTGACGGTGTATACGCCATGGACACGGATGGCTGCTAGGTTTCATCGAAACAGCTGTTGTCTGATGTTGTCCCTACCCGATGTCAGACTTGGAGCTATTAAAATTCAGCGAAATCTATCGCACCAACTCAGAACTAGCCGTAGCTCTTACCACATCCTACATAATATTACAGTTAAGTGCATTTACTTCAATTTTCTCTTCACATACTATTTTTTCCAAAGAAGAATGCTCTTTCGCTCTGATTTTCTTAGCTTTATAGGTTTTTACGCTATTGTTCCTCCAATTTTAACTTCTTTTTTTAGCAAAACTCTATGAAAGTAAATTTCTTCTTTTATTTTATTTCTTTAAGCTCTTAATCAACTTCTACTTCATGCATTTTTTCTCTAAAACAGTTGCTTTCTTTTTTCTACAGTTTTGAGCTTCCTCTCTCTTAATAACTTCTACATTTCTTTTTATATCTTCTTTTTTCTTTAATATACTAAAAAGCATAGAAATCTAATGTGAATCTAACTGATCTCTTCCTTTCCCAGGTTCTCTTCCATTTTCTATTTTCTAACCTCAAACAGTCGGTGCGTCGAGCTCGTGAACTTTCGATAGGACTCGTCGTATTCGATAGCAGCCACGCTAAACGCACCGTGCCACGAATGTGTAACGAGAAACGACCGACCCTCTTTCTTTCTTTTTTCCCCATGAAGTCAGTTCGGGTCGCTGCTTTGAAATTGGCACGCGGGATGATTTTAGCTATTCGAAGTCTGGCGGAAAGGAAGGAGAACGCGTCGCGTTCGACCCGCTGGCGCCAACACGACAAAAACTTTTCATAATCGGCCGTGTCTCCCCTCGTTCTTTCGTTTCTGACTCCATCACATCGGCCTAGAAATCTAGGAATCCCCGCCTTTCTCTAATCTTTCTTCAGCTTGTTTTAATATCTGAATAATAGTAGTGAATAATCGCCAGAAATATTTTAACTTTGCCTCTTGATAAATTTTCTTCTAGTACCTTGCAGAGTGGTAGATGTAAATTTACTAAATACCAAGGAAGAATATTAATTACAACTCTATAATGTATTAGCATGACATTTTTTAATATCAAGCACTGAGGTTCAGATATTACTAAAAGTTCTTTACTGTTGTCGTTCAGATAATGAAAAAGATACAAAATTTAGTATTTAATATGTTTTATCTGGTGTTAACATAGTTTATTATTGTATCTAGTTTTAATATATAATATCTAGTATCTTTAATATTTCAGTGACAACAATGAAGATTTTTAACCTCGATTTTTAATTGATTTCTTTCTTTTACTTTAATTATCCCTTTTAACGTGTGACTTATTTTTTGTTTTATCTTATGCCTTATCTGTATGTCTTCTTTTTCTAACTTTAGCCTTTTCTTTTTATGTAGATATTTTATGGTGGATGAAAGGGAAGAGACATTACTAAAATTTCTTCAATGAATCTTCCAAGAAGGCTCTACTTCTGTGTCACAGCCTGGTGAGGACTTTCAGGAACCTGATCCAGTAGGAATTTTTTCTGAATGAATAACTCTTAACCATTCACTTAATCATACACGAACTTTCTCTTTACACTTTACAAAAAAATCACATATACTCTTTTCTCTCTTTTATTTTATTTTTTAATGGTTTTACATCTTCATACACTTGCTTATTATTGTAGCAATGTAATGTAATTCTGTCGTGAATATTATTGCAGCATAATTAAGGTAATTATTCTTAGCAAATTTGTAGTTGAAAAATGGTAATTGATCTTCACTCTACTTATTATATATGTAGAATATTAACATTGACCAATATATGGGAACTCCCATAATAGATTAAAGGAAAAAAAATGAATTTCACCAAAGGAGCCGCCTTCAGCAATGGAAAAAAGGAAGAACAGGGATTTTAAAAGCGTTGCATAAAAAAGGGTCTCCCTTGGTCAAAGTACTATGTGCCACCCTGAGCAAGTAAAAGGGGTTGGTCCTCTAGAATAATCTAGAATATGGCCCCTTTTTATTTGGACACCGAAAATGGTCGCTGCGATGAGCTTTCTCGAGGTATAAATCAACAGTCTAGGAAAAACACACGGCGAGAGTCGTTCAACGCTGATATATGAACACGTGATTCATTAACAGCCACTGATGAAGTATGTGTTAATGAAGAGAATCCTCTTCTTCGTTCTCGTTCTATCCCCCAATTTTAAACCGTGTTTTCCCTATGAAATCACGTGGTTCAAACGTTATTTTCGAAGGAGAAATGGACGTAGAGCGATTTTAGGTTAATCCTCCTAATGTGAACCATCATGTTGTTTTTCTTTAAAACTTCTACCATACTGAAATTATTCTTCAATCTACTCTTTTTAGATAATCTATACTTATGCTTAATTGCATTATGTTCATTTATTCTTTGCTTATATTTTCTTTGTGAATATAATAATACTATGGTGAAATTACATTACATGTAGGAGAAATAGTAACTAAGAAATAATGTGTATCGGTATTGGAATGGTATGAGTATTGGAAATAATGAGTAACTTGGTTTTGGTTCAATAACGTTATAACAAATTTTCACTGCCTTGTTACAACAATAATTAAATATAAGAGGATACAAAATATATGAATATATGAAGATATATATGAAGAAATATATGAAGATAGAAAATTAAGTATGTAATTTCCAAATTACACTGTAACAATAAATATTAACTTATAAATTTCAAACAATCTGTTTCCAATAAAATTTTAATTTTAATAAAATATTTCTATTTTTAGGTTGATCATAGTAATCTGATTGGACACCAATGAGAGTCAATCAACGAAGCAAGTCCAGCCTTTGCGTTTGGATAGTGGATGTGAAGGTAGAGGGTTGCTCTTCTATCCGTTTCTCTCCCATTCTTTTCTTGAAACCGACGACACGCAGTCGCGGAGGGGCGGCGCCTTCAAATGGCAGCATCCAGAGCGCAGACGCCTTCGGTTTCACAGCGTGCTTCCGGTAAGGGTGGCCCATAGAATTCCTTGGGGTGTCTAACGCCCCCGCAACACCAATCGTAAATTATTCAGGTTTTCAAGCCCCGCTCTCGACTCGTCCTAATTTATCTTTTTCGAACCCGTGACGACCTCGCCTTCATTTTAATTAAAACCAACGCCGAAGAAATTCGTTATATGAATGAATTTTTACTTTTGGTTGAGGCCAAGTGATTTTTGGGTATTTTTGTATGAGAAATGATACAGTGAATATCTTCTGATGTTCATAAAAAAAAAATATAGTTTTCTTTTCTGTTTAGAGTCTTGATCCTCTTTTATCAATGTGACAACTTCGGCTGGATTTTAATTAAAATCCACGCTAAAGAAATTCATCAGATGAATTTTTAGTTTTAGATAAGATTAAAGAAGAAGTTTACAACAAAGTCCTCTATCAACACCAATTTAATCTCTTCTTTGCTACATTTATTCTTCTTGTTGATGAATAATTCGTTAAAAGATTTTTTTATTCAACAGAAATCTTCTACCAAAACTCTTCATCGGTATCGCATCTTTTCCTTTCTCTTTTTCTCTATTTTCCCTACCAATAAACTATCCAATAACAATTTTCTTTCCTTTATCGCCAAATATCGACTGAAATATTTCTTCTTTTCCAGGCTTCAACTAGAGCAACAATCTCGACTATCAGAAATCTTTCGACCGTTCTGAAATAAACCAGGAGAGCACGTCGGGGCTTCCCATTCGCCTTCGAAAATGTGTTTACACGGCACTATACACTTCACCGGAATAATTCTCGATGTCTTTTTGCTCCGTACGAAAACGAACGAGTTTTCCTTGGCGCCTGTATTGTGAGGTCCGCGATTTCGCGGTATCGCCTGAGTAAATTCCATCCATCGGCGGGGGTGGCGGCTGTTACAATTTACTGTTTCCACGTTCCGATCTATTTTAATTATTGCCGGCGAGGTTAGCCGCGAAAAATTCCATAAATCTTCGTCTCCTGCGGTAATTAGCGGGAATACTTTCGACTAGCGGGCATAAATCCCGCAATTCCTTCCAGGAACCTCGGAACATTGACGACACGAGGTGCAACACAGATCCAGTGTCTCTCAAGTAACCGAATTTTTCAAATTGAAGTGACTAAAAGTTCATTTCAGAATGTTTTACGCGATAATTATTGAAGAGGAAAGAGGAAGATAACTGGAATTAAGAGATTATTGCAATTTTAATTCACGATTGTCAATTGTTTATTGATTATTTATTGTAGGAAAATTATAGAGTGGCTGAAAAATGGTCAGAAGTTGATTTAAAATCTTGTTACAATTTTTTAAATAATAATTGAAGAAGAAAGGAGAAGAGAATGGGAATTGACAATCAGTATGGATTATTTATCATGAAGCAAATTTACAATATAAAATTCTCCTATTCTATCTTAAAATCTTTTGTTAAAGATTCTTTAGGAAAGACTAGCTTAGAAATTTCTGGTTCTTATGAATTTTTAGGAAATTAATTACCGGGGAAAGCCAATTTGAGGTGCTATGTCACGGAGTGATCATTTGAAAAATGGAGGGACGTCGCGTAAATCGGTATTATAGAGGCTTGAACGGCTGTAACTGTTCTTAATTCGCGGGGACGTTTATTTGCTGCACTCCGGGGCAATATAATTCGACGCGTTTCCGCTATTTTTATCGTTTCGTGATTCATTTTCCCTACTATTAAAAAGAATTATTGCCTTCGAGTCTCAGAACGTGTTACTGCAACGACACCTTCCTGTCTTTTTATAATCTCTTCATTCCTAACCTCCAAGTAACTCGTTTTACACTTATTTAAACTACCATAGATTAATCATATCTTCTTTTATTTCCAGAAAGACACATACTTCTAATTTCTTCAATATCATTCTTGAATTAATACTAATTCAAACATGCCTGCATCTTCATACAGAGAAGTATAAATCAGTTATTAATTCACGCATCTTGTATTCAAGAGTAAATTTTATTTAAGAACGTTTCAGGATGAAAAATATTGGAAGAAACTGTTTTCGAATGGTAAAAATACTTTTCATTGTCGAAAGAGTGGAAACCGTGCTGAAGATAATAATCGCTTTCCGTTCGCCGTAAATCTCTCCTTATGAACGGTGGCGATAGGGCTTGCCTGCACGAAAATAGAGTTTTTTTCCTGGCCTTCGTAAAATATTTATATGCGCAAATAGTGGAGAGCCGGGTAGAAAACAGGGCTGAACGAAAAGAAGACATAGATAAGAGACTCATGGAATTTATCCTCCTTCTTCTGTGTTGTTTTTCACCCCGGAAATATCTCTCGGGTCGGCACATGAGATTTTCCTTGCGAAAAAGTCAACGTCACTCGTGATTTTTACTTTGATCTCTCACGACTTTTCATCCGACGCTTATCGTTTCAATCTCTTTATCTTTAAATACGGTAAAAATACTGTTACATTGAGGAAGAAACAGTTCCCTCCCAGTATACAAAAGAAATCATTTAAAATTAACAATTTTTTATTACAAGCAACATTTCTTCTTTTACATTAAGCTACGTTCATGAATTTTATGTTAAGAAAAAATATGTGAAATGTCTTGGAGTAAAAAAAAGTGGAATTTTTTAGTTGTCTTCTCTATTGGATGAAGCTCTAAAATCCTTTCCTGTGCAGATGTTGACGGCAAAGTATCTAGGGAATCGAAGAGGTGACAAAATCGGCCCTTCGGTTTTAATAGAGAAGTGGACCCATTACGCTATCGCTTGAAAAAGCCGTTATTCATGTTGGACAGCTGTTTCCTTGGTTAAAAAAAGGTTGCTGTCGCTTTTTGAAAGAAACGAGTGTGAAGTGATCATCCAAAATGGGCAAAGAAGTTTTTTAAATTCACTTTTTTTAAGAAAATTGAACTTGCAACAAAAAGAAGACCTAACAATCATTATTTCACTGAAAATCGTATAATTTTATTTAAATTACGTTTTTTAAGAGTATCTTAAAAAATTTATTTCTCGAGGTGAAGTCCCTTTTTTATTAATATTGAAAGTGGATTATGTAATGGAAGTAGTCGGTCAGATCTTTGTTAGAAAATCGTTCCGACTTTTCAGTCCCGCCTCCCAAACAGGAAATTAGTTGCCGACAGGCGGTTCGAATTATACATTTCTCGGTAAAGACCTCCTTTTTCTATCTTCCGCCTTGATTTTGCTTCATCGGCCACATCAAAGCAAAATCATATCCATTTCCTTTTTTTTCAATTCATTTTTCATCGATTTATCCCAAAATTTTATAAACATTTACGTCACATTAAAACTAATGTATTATTAAAATAAAGTTTAGGTTATAAATTGTAACATAGCTTTAATACAGTATCTAATTGCAGATATCGTGAAAAAGATTCCATTGGTTTCTATTTTACTTACCTAACCTCCAGTGAGCTTTTTATGCAAGCTTACTGTGTGAGAGGAGAGAAGTTGTCGACGTGTTCCCTCGACAGCTGCCACCACTATAAGATCCGGTTCACACGAGTCTCCTCACTTGTCTCCCCTTGATCTTCTTTTTACACTTTTATAAGAGCTTTCTGAAAACTGCGCGTGACACTATCACCAAATTTCTTCTTCTTCGTTCACTTTTCTTTGTTGCATTATACCGTAATTGATCTTAGTTAATTGATTATTCGTTGATAATTTCATCATTTTATTGGCAATAGCTGGTAATAGTGTTACGAGATGGATGATGAAATAACCTTTCATTTGCAGAACTGAAAGAGCCACCTCATGCGCGAACTTTTTGCCAGAGAAGCACTTATCAAGGACGTTCAATTTGCAATACACTTGTATGGTGACAGTGTTGGTGTAAGTCGGTAAACAGGAAAACACTGTGCGCATTCATTCCTCTCTACTGACCCACATTCGCAGAAGTCGCTATCTTTTCTTCTGCTTCTCTTCTCTACCCTCGAACAATCAGCTATAAGTCAAGCCAGCCACGGCTCGTTGATCTGTCGTTTCTCCTTGCTCAGGATCGTACGAATCGCTTTTTTCACCTTGCATTTATCTTTACTCGGAGAAAAAAGTGGTACCATATCGATAATTCATTTCTCCAGTTATTTTATTTTTAGTTCTAGTTATTTTCAGGTAAGAAAGCTGTTTTAGTTTCGTAACGTCATGTAAGTATGTAATTAAATAAAAGTAAATAACTGGATAAAATATTAAATATAAGATTTAAGACACTAGAACTATTTTTAGAGAATATAGTTAAATTTATTTTTTTGTACAGAATCATTAAAAAAAGAAAGTGATTATATTTGATCCGCAGCAGTTGTTGTCCAACAATAACAAATAAATAGATATGATATTAAATAAAAGATTTAAGGTCCTAGAATTATTTTTAATTTTTAATATATATAATTGAATTTGTTAGATATACTTATTGGAAAATTTAGAGGAAGAGGATTAGAAAATTAGATTTAGAAAAAAGTAATTCTAATGTTTTTGCAACATCTTAACTAGAATTTTTTCTTTCAGAGATCCTTATAAGTGGCGACGCGACGCAACGTCACTGGATCATTCGTCTGCACGTCAACTTTCTTCCGTTTCATTTTTGTCGACGTCCAGTCACTATTTTCGACTAATTTACTAATTCGAATCGGAACTAGCAGGATCCCCGACGACGTTCGATTCAAAGAAATACATTTGTACGGATGTTAGGAAACATCAAAGCACGTCACATTGTCGGACGTCCCTCTGAATGTGTTTCTTCTTTTATACTCGAGGAAAGTAAAGTGAAACCAACGTAAAGTGAAACCTTTCAGTAGAGATGTAACTATAATAAGAAAAGTGAAAAGAATTAGAAATTGAGAAAGAGTTACCAGAAATGTATTTTTTAACCTCTCTGATTTTGATATTGCAGAATTTATATCATAATTTAATATTTCAGAATTTTAATATGCCTATTTTAATGTTGCATGAAGGAGATATTTGATAAAGTTGTAACAAGGTTGGTTACTGAATGTAAGAAGTAAAATCAAGAGGAAAAAAAGGAAGCAGTAGTCGGGTCGAGTAAGTACATTTATGGGTCGTATCTTGGTAGATAGTATTCATTAGGGACACCGAATACGCGTCAGCGGACAGGATAAAAAAAATGGAAAAAATGATTCGATCTACACTCGTGGGAAGTCTGTGATCTTCCTAAAGGCGACTATAAATCAATGCAGTATTTAAGATTGGCCTGATGCAGATCTCTTAATATCAAAATGAAATATCGAATTACATTTTGCTTTCTTTATCTTATATTATCTATTAATGGCAATTATTTTATTATTTTATCTATTAATGGAAATGGAAGAAAAATACTAATTATAGAAATAAAATTAAAGAAAGTTGTAACGATAATACGCAACATTTTTACAGTAATAATTTTTTAGTTTAAAAAAATAATCAAATATTTATAAAAAATATATTCTATAAGCTTCTATAAAAGAAATAATTTATTAAAAAATAAAAAATTTTATGAACTCTACACAATTCTAAAAAAAACAGAAAAGTAGAATTTTGATGTCAAAACAATATTTTATACTTTTTCGTATTTTAAAGTATGTAGTAAAATTGTCGGAGAATGTAACGCGACAGTCGTATATCATCATTTTCTCTGACAGATTTCAGGGACCGTCATTTCATTGTTTTTTCTCCTTTTCTGCTGAAAGATGATCGATTTGTGACGGTCAGGTCGAAAGAAAACGTGGAAAAGGTCAGGATAACGCAAAGATCATACATGGAGCTCAGGTCAATGTCGAGACGATCACCACCTTACACGCATAACGAACAGAGGTTCATGAACTCGCAGAATGCCTGCACGACAAAGAAACAAAATGGTCCTTTTTCCACAATATTCCTTCCTCACTTCAAATATATTTTTTCATCTTCCTCTTCATCTGTTTTAGTCTTAAAATTTCAATTTTTCAATTTAATAATTTTAGAAATTTTAAAGATTCTTGACAGAAATTTTTAAGTTTTAATTTTCATCTTTAAAGATTAATTTTTCTTTAAAAATTAAAGGTTTAAGTAAAATCAAAGTAGAGGAGGAGGACAATTCACCAACAGTGATAGTCAGAGATGTATGTGTCTTTCCAAAATGTAAATACTTTGTCTACTCTGTCTGTGGGCTCTTGATATGCTTCCTCTGTATTGTTTGGATCAGCCTCGTGTTCCCTTATCCTATGCATGCTTCTTGTATTGTAAAATGGTATTTCAATTCTTCATATATACTCTTTATACATATGCTTGCAAGTAATAGTAATAAAAATTTGTTTATATTAATATTTCAGTAAAATTTACTCTTTTTATGGAGTTTTCTTTATTTTAATTCTTCCTACTGATATACAGTTGGCAATAACAACCAGAAAAAGGAATTAATACATATATATTGATATTTCGTCCCAATATGTTTCTTTTATAAATTTTTCTTACTCTGACTAATTAGATATATCGTTCATGTAACATCCTATCCTTTATATACTTCATTTTTGTAAGAAAACGTGCTGCTGCATCAAATGAAGCAGCATAAATGTTTTGTCTATAACCCTAAAAGCTTGGGAAAAATTGTTTTATGATAACGTCTACTCTGCAAGTAATCCTGTGTATAAAGCAACTGAATATTAGCCAGCAATGGTAAGGCTCGTATATTTTTCTTTGGCTGGATGACACCGCTTGAAAAATATACGAGCCACACTTTTCAAGCCCATGAGAACGTCGCGCGTGTTATTTCGGTGCTCCCCTTTGAACTTCCACGCTGCCAAAAGACGATAAAAATTTTCACGAATAAAACAGTCGATTTCGGATTAAATATACCTTACCTAGTTCCGTGGATAATCGTGGAAAATTTTGTCATTATTTTCTAGCGACTTTTTTTATCGGCCTTATATCGCGAAAGATATTTTGAAATAATTTGTTTTTTTTTTTATTATAGGAAATTTGGTGATCCATGCAAGTATGTTATGCAGAAATTTAGGAGTCAGATACTTAATTGGTCGTCCTGTGTGAATTGTGGCCCACGTGGTGGTAGATGTCTATATACAGTAAAAAATAATTTTTATTTAAATATTAATAATTTTTTACTTCAAAATGTATAATGTTTAACTTTGGCTTTGTAGCTCAAGGAACCAAAACCAAATGAGAGTAACATAATTAAAGCTATTCATCTTGCTTCAAATTTGAAGACTACGGAAACCATCAAAATTGATTTTGATGAAATTAACAAAACTTGCGTAGCAACGGTATATCTAATTTTTTAACTCGTGAATTATAATTTTTTAAATTATTTCTTTTTATTATTGAAGGGAGAATCCGTGTCAAATGAATGGTTCAGGATTTTCGATTATGGCACAAATTACTGCAATTTGCATAATTTAGTAACCGAGATTGGTTTTGATAAAAGTTCAAAGTTCTTGGAATTGACAAGCAATGCAGTTTGCACACAGTACAATATGGCAGTTTGTGGCTGAAAAATATTGCTTTGACTTTTCTTTGCCATTTATGAAATGTTTTCATTTAATTAGTATACATACGTACATTTGTTGATATTTTTAAATAAAGCTGCAAATACATTTTTACTGTTTTATTAATGTTGATTTTACAATAAAAGAGTTTATAAAAATAAATTACAATTATATTTAATACAAAATACATGCTTCTTACAAAGAACTATAATATAAAGTGCATAACATTATATTATGTACAATTTTGTCTTTTTATAAACTACAATATTTGTCATGTTGAGAATTTAGAAGACAATGCTTCAAAGGCACTATATTGATGTTAAAATTACGGACATTTATGAAGTTCAAGAAATTGTCTAATTGATAAAATAATTTTATATTTAATTATTTAGTTTAATTGATTAACGTATTATGTTTACAAACGGTTCAATTCTCGATAGAAGTAATTTTAATTAACTTAATGTAACAAACTAACCTAACATTATGTTAAAAAATTTATCTGTCACCCATTGAGTGTCAAAAGGAATGTTTGCTGCAATACAGACCACTTATTGCATATAACCGACACCTTCTGCCGCTTAGTGTTATGCCATTACATATCACTCTCGATGATGTTGAAGAAATACTAAGATTAAAAAGAATCATTTTATTGTCGATAACAAAATTCTACTTTGTTAGTACTTTTGAATCAGAGATACCTTCTGGAGGGTGAATTTTGACGAGAATAAGAAGACCTGCTGACAGAATTTTCAACTTTTTTTAATCTTCGCCTTAGATCATTGGCATCGACTAGAAGTTCAAGGTCATCGATACTTCCGTTGTTTTCATTCATTAAATTTGAATGTTCAAAGTATGTATTATCTTCGGACATACTTGGATACTCTTGTTCGTAATTACAAACGAGGTCTTCGCGATTTCTTCTCGAGGAAGTGTACGAACAGGACAATTCCTCGCGTGGCATTAATCTTTGCTTACTCCACGAAGTTGCTGCTTGTATCAGCGAACTAAACTTTTCTGAAAATTGCAATTAATTATTTTAATGAAGAAAATATGATATATATCACTTTTGAACTTACGGATAGATCGGTTTATTTGATAACGGACAAATCTATAAATTTTCCATGTACTCCTCTTCAAATTTGTGTAGAAAGATATTGGAAGATGACGTGATTGAGCAGTGTAAGAAGAAGAAACATATTCTGCGGTACTATTCGCATGACCATTTTTGTAGACGGTTTGAATCGGATCTGACCGCGTTTCTCTTCTTTTTGCACCAAATAAACGTTGAATTCCAACCATTAGGAAATGCACTAAGAAATAAAAATATTAAAATAAAATGTATATTGACTCTATAAATATTTTTCTTGTATAATACATACTCATTGTGATTAAAAATATTAATACACTCATTGATACAAAGTCCAAACAAGCATCCATGCCATGCTTCAAGAAAGATACTAAGTTTAACGGTACAAGTCCCAGAATGGTGACTCTAGTTAGCAGTGGTGCATGAAGGAATGCAGCAATTACCATGGCAAATAATAAGTAAACAATGTGCAAGCTTGTACGATATACTTGATGCATTTGTTCTCCTGAAAAGTTAGAAAATTTAATTATCCATCTTAATGAGGTTTCCTTTTTTTATGCTACAATATTCATAGTTTCCAAAATTATAATTACCAGTATCACCAATATAATTGGTCAACCAATTAAGCTTCTCATCTACCTCTGCACGCATAGTATTTGTTATATTCCAAATATATTGAATAGTGTCATTAATTTGACCTAATTTTTGTAAAGTTTGTTCATATTGAACAAATGCTGCTTCATGTTGTGCGAAAATTCGATCTGTACTAGATTCTATTTTGTCCCAGATTGATTGTGCTTGTAACTGAATGTTTAATAAATCCTCTAGTATTTCTTTATGGTTTTCGCTACGTTCGATAGCTTGTTGCTCCAAATTTTTATTTGCCTCTTCTACAAAAGATTAAATTAATTGAATGTTACCAATCACAAATATTTTAGATTTTGATTCATTTAAATAATTACCTAATTTCCTTCTGATATCGTCCGCCATTGCCGCAAGTTGTGCGTGTCCAGATCGAATCAAAGCTTTTTCGTTGTTCAGTTCTCTTAAATTTGTTGTCACAAGATTATGAGCTGATGCTTGTGCATCTTTTAAACGCTTTTGCTGTTCTAATAACGCTTTATTACCGTCTGACAAAGACGATAGAGCTTCTACAGTTTGTTCTTCTAAACGATCTTGACCTTCCTAAAAAAATATTCAATGATAAAATAATGTTAACTTTCAGAGCTTATACACTATTTTACACACTCACTTTTAATGAACTCAGTGTCTTAATTTGTGTGTGCGCAGTTTGCATTAATTTGTTCACAGTCAATTCTGTAAGAGCACGAAATTGAGTACTGCGAGCTGCATAACAAACTGCTCTGGCTCTGTTACTCATTAAATGGTATGCATTCCACATATCTGCATCCATATCTGTGGTACATTGTTTTAGTGACTGCAAAAAGTACAATTGTATTCACTTTATAAATTTTGAACAAAAAGATTTCCATAGTATTACGTATTTTTTTAACTTCACTATATACAAATAACAGAAACACTAAATTTTTAGTACTGTTACATAAAGTTCAACTGATTAGCTTCATGTACAAACAGGGACTGTACTTTATATTATGAAGCTTGAAACTAGGAAGACCTTAGTGGTGGTCTATATATTTTGTAAGTGGGGGAAATGCAAGTCTGAACATGTTTCATACCACCCTTCCACATGTAATTTCACAGACAGTGGTATATATTTAGATATTTTGTATACTTGAATTCAGTCCCCTTCTTCAATGCATAATATCATTAACAAAATAAAGTTTATAGAAATTATATACATGAAATTAAAAGTAGAAAACAGTTGAAGCTTTAGAAATTTCCAATTTTTACATTGCTATAAAAAATAAAGAATTTATTGTAAAAAGATAATAAAATTTTACCATTTCCTCAGTACATGGAAATATTTTCCTGCCCTCCACTGCAGACTGACAATTCAAAAGATTAACACTCAGTTTGGCAAGTTGTTCCTCACTCAACTCAGAGCAAGAGGTTTTAATCTTCATAATAACTTTGTGTTGGCAAGTTTCTAAAGGCGATGACACTTGAATTTCTGTAAACTTTGCAGCTTCTTGAAGGAATTTCTCATCCTCTGTCATAGATTCATAAGGAATAGAAATCAATGGAACACCATCTGCTACCAAGACAGTAGTATCATCTGTATCCTTTCCCCAAATCCATTTAAATACCGAAGCATAATCGCCTTGACAAGTTATTGACATAAGTGACAAAACCAATAAATGTATATACACCATCCTGTTTTGTTTTTCTGGAAAGATGACAAACAAATTCAACAATTGATATTATTTATGGAATAGTGAATGACTTTTAAATGATTATCAGTATTAAATTACCTAAAATAAAAGTTGACAAAAATTGACTTCTAAATGATATTGAGCAAATAATCAGAATACAGAATTAAAAATCATAATTTTAGATTTACGACGTTAAAAATACTCAGTTTCTTTCGCAATGTTATATCACCTTCACCGATGTAAAATATATTTGTAAAATATTATGCTATAAAATATTAAAACATTATTGTTGAGAAAACCGAGTGCTTCATTCATTCAACAGGAAATTTTATAGTAGTAGTGGGTGACAAACGAAAATAGCTGCTTCACAGGTGAGATACAATCAACCGTTTACTTATTCTCGTTGTGCTTGGACTTTGCAACGGTTATAGCGCTGCAGTTCAGTGGCGGAGAAATTAGAAAGTGAAATCAAATTTTCTTACATAATATTTGGTAATATCTATTTAATTTCCAGCTAACCTCGTTCCAATATAAATAATCACAAAAAATTATTACAATATATGATATAAATACTATACATATGGAATTTCAATATTAATTGTGAAGCATATTAACTAAGTATGTATTCGGGAGATTTAAATTTTTTCCAAGATACGATTTAAGCACCAACCAATCAGAAGCCCAATTTTATTAATGTTACCTGCGCAGTTTGAGTGAACCAATCAGAGCATTTCCCGGCTACCGAATCGCTTGCGCAGATCAGTCTCGCGTTGCTTGCAATACCGCGAATATGTTTGTGATGTCGCAAATTCATAATTTTGTAAGTTAATTATGCCGAAAATAGTGTTAAATGTGCATCGTGGAAGTTTTCGAAATACGCTGTATGCTGTTTCGGTGAGTCAGAAACATAAAACATAAACTCTGAGTTACCTTTCATTGAATAATTTGCGAATAGTAAATATGTAGTGCATATATTGGGTGTCCTTTGAAATTTATATTAAATAAAATCAAATAAAGGACGCTATCGAAGCAATACTTTTTGATTTCTCAGAGTTCGTAGCATTTTAAGTTTTGAAAAAAAAAAGTAGTTTCTAATACATATTTGTTTATTTCAATTTTAGTATATAAAAGGTTTTATACATAAAAGTTATATTATCTATTATATAGTGTTATACAGGGCATCTCAAGTTTTAACAGCCAAATTTTGTCAGTATATTGTATGGATAAAATCAAGCAAAGAGTGTTAAGGACATAGCTAATTTGCAGCTGTATTAAAAAATTAAAAAAATATTGACAAAGTTTGACTGTTAAATTCTGAAATACTCTGTATGATATCGTATATATAATTTTCTATAGTTAGTAAATGATAATTATAAGAACTAATTCTTAGGCCATCTTTTGAATTATAAAGATCCTTTTTATTGACTACATTCAAATTGAGTTTTGTTATAAAATTGGAATTAGAAATTATAAATAATAATATAAACTTTGATTATCCTTATATGTTTATAAGAAGTAATTTACTATTTAAAAGAAGTAATTTGTACAAAATTTACAAATTTCGTACAAATCAGTTTTTGACTAGAAATATTTGAATACTATATTTTCTTTTCCGGAAGTACTTCACTAATTCCATACATTCCCGCCAATAGTCTTCCGTGTGAAGTTGGTACTGGTTCTTTTGGCGCCAAATATGGACCCTTTTCATCCATATACACGTATCTAAATTTTCGTTAAGAATTAATTTAAATTTTTTATAAACATTGTGATATATTAAAATTTCATACTTTAAAAATTCACATTTCAAAATTAAAGATTGTTGAAATTACAATTTTCATTACTTAAGTATTCTTATGTTATAATACATACGGTAATCTCAAGACCCAGTAAGCACTTTGCGATAACTTTATTGGTTCATCGCAACCAGTGACAAAAATTGGACAAGGTGGAGGTCCAGGTTGTACTCTAGGATTTACTGTAACATGAACAGGTGCTTTTGGCGTCACTACGTGAATTCTCATTAATTGAGCTATTAGAGGCTTTGTTTGCCTGAAAATTAAAAAGTTAATTCGATATTAATTCAAAATTAATTTAATATCATTTATTTGGAGCTAAAATACATATGGTCATTATCATTATTTGGATTTAAATTAAATTTAATTATCTGGATTTCTATCGAAATTGCTTTTTAAATATTCACATACCGACAAGGACAGGGAAAATAGAGCGGCATGTCCGCAGTACTGGATGTGACTTTATTTCCACTGTCCTTCACAATCCCATTTCCAGTAGCCTTCAGAACCTTATCCGGCGCAGACGCCATAAATCTGTGTCCTCTTGGACACTCGTATTCCACTCCCACAAATATTTTCACTACAAATTCCTTTCCGCCTTTTGATTTCCGACCACGAATAGTATTCATATTTTGAAAATTCTTTCCTCTCGGACAATAGTTATGGGTTCCATGATCACCTATAGTAGGCCACAAAGAGCCTCTTTCTTTTTGATGCTCTAGTCTAATAAAAAATTAATCGGTACAAATTAAATCCAACTTAATGATGAAACTGAATTTTTTGGTTTATTAAATTACCTAACAGTCACATCCCATGGTAAAAGAAAAGCGGAAGTGGCTAAAACACCAGCTTGGTGTTGTAAACCCAAATTATGAGAGTATAGGCTACTTGGTCCAAGGCAAACTAGAGACCAGCTAGAGAATTGTGGCAATAAACCAGCTGGTGATTCTGTATGTAACATTCCTGGTAGATACTCTGTTGTTGAAGGCTGCCTGACTAGAGATTTCTCTATAGAATTAAAGAATATTGAAATATAATATTATAATTAATCTTCTCAAAGAATAGTTACCTTTTGCATTTTCTGCATCACTATCTGATACTTCTATAACTACTTTATGGGCTTCATTAGGTGTTAAACTGGTTTTACTGCTGAGCTTAGGAACATCTTCATTAGTTTCACTCGTTGGAGGTGACTGTCCTCCACTTCCATATGGAGTTCGAATATCATCTAAAGTCATAACCTTAATGTCATAAACTTAACTTTTCAAAGAATTTTTTTACCAATAAATTGACTTTTCAAAGAATTCTTTACCACAGGATTGAATTGTAAATAATTATGAACAATAAAACAAAAATACCATTCAGAGTGTTAACTCCTAAGCTGCAAGCTTGAGTATTTCCTTCAGATGTTGGAGATTCTGCATGAGTGAAAGAGTCCTCTCGTTTAGTAGAAAACAACTGTGCAGGCCTGTAATAAGAGTACGCCATTGTTCAAACTCTAAGACACAGAAATCTATTATCAATATTGATATACAATTATTATAAATATTTTACCTATAATTATGAGTGCTTGGTTGGAAAACAGGAAACTGTATGTTCTCTAACTGAGCACATCCACATTGCTTAGCTAGCATTTGAAAATAATCATAGTTGGCCTGTCTCAGACTGAATGGGTCCTCCCTTGAACCCTGACAACGACCACAATTACAAGCACAGATGTATCGAACTCCGCTACAATGTTCCCTAATTGGTAAGTCACTGTAAAGTGATATAATATTATATTGAGATTACATAATAAATAATGTGAGATGATAAATCGTTTTCCCTGAATCACGCACTTGTCATTCTCTCTTTGTTCCGTTTGTTCCCCGCCTCCAGCGCCCTCACTTCCACCTCTGTGTATCGGATTCGTGCAAGGATTCCCTGTCAGAGACAGTACTTCGCACATCTGCCTCCCAGATCTCCAGTGCTTCTCGCATTCGGCCTGTAGCTTTTCATTAAACTCTTCAAACAAAGGGCCTCGTGCATGCATCTCAAAGACACCCATTGCATGTGCCAATTTTGTTTCATGATATGCTCTGGTGTAAATATTGAGGGATTACTTTATGTAAATTTTTCTTGGGGAAACTTTGAATACCTTGTGTAGTGTTGCGGTAGGTTCTCTTGGTAAGCCTGGAGGGCTCGTGGGAGTACTTTGCTGCATCTGCTCTTGCTGAACTTTACATCAGTATCTAACAAGCTGTGTAATGTTAGTAGTTCTTTATCTGTTCCATGTATAAAATAGTCGTATACTTTGTTTGCCACTTCACAGAATATTGTAACATTAGGTATCTGATAAAAAAAAGGTTGAAGTTAGAAGCAAACTAAATGTAAAATTGTAATTTAATATTAGTTGTTTTTATTATTGGTCTGACCTCAAAATAGGCAGGTACAGAATGTCTTCCAACATTGTCATCAAAACCTCTTGCAAAGGCTAGGTTTATATGCTGTTGTAGAAATGATCTAAAGGAACGAGTTTCTGTGAACATATATGGAGTTATTATTATTTTGATTATTTGGTTTTAATTCAGTAATATTCTTACCAGTTTCTGTATCCTCTATTTGAATATTGGAATCCTGACTAGCCAAACTCCTTGAAGTACTTCCTCCAGAGCTAACTTTGCAACTCTGTATGAGCTTCTTTGCCATGTAGCCCAGAATATCTCTGGATTCTGTCGTACCAGTGTGTACATATACGAATTCTTGATTTGCAGGAATTGCAAACAGTGAATTTGAGCTGAAAATTCACCCACATATTGTTTACATTAAATTAAACAATGTTTGAATTTTGTAGTCTTTATATTTACCTAATATTGGTTACTATTCGATTTTTCCTTAATACTTGGTATATCTGATCTTCTAAGGAATGCTCCAGTTTCTTGATATTAGCTCCACTGGCAGGATCTTGAAACACAGTGGGACAAGTTTCAAAATAGAATAAAACCCTAGGAGAGCAGGGTCTAACATTTGATACCCAGTCCTTAGGTAAACTGTATATGGAACTTAGGACATCAGAAAGTTGTGGAGAAACCTTTTGTCTGAAAATCAAAATATACATTTGTATTCAAGATCTGTATTGTATTGTAGAACAGTATATTTATTGAAAGAAATTAGATGTATACCTTACCATATCCATGGCTCTGAATAAATGTATATAACTATAGTCAAATGTGTGAGTCGGATGAGTAAGAATAATAACATGCGATATGTGAAATAAAACAAGTAGTGCTCTAGCATATTTGTCTCTCATGTGTGCCCATACACTAAGGAAATCCTTGCAGTCCTGTTTTTCTAAGAACTTATCATATTTTGTTAAAAGGGTGTGTGTATCTAATAATCCTCTTAAATGCAAGTATATAGTTCTATCTTTAGAATCGTAGTATCCCTCAATCTCACACTAGAAATAATTTCATTAGTGTTATTTTCATACAAATTATTTTAGAGATTCTAATGTATTCTCAAATAAACTCTTACAAATGATTCTTCTTCTACCTCTGGTTCATCCAGGAGGCTCACCTGCAGGATTGAACTGAGCATGTTGGTCTTGCATCCTTTTGCACTATATTGTGACTTTCCAAATACAGATACTATCACTACCTTTTTATCTGTGTGTACAAAACTAAAAATAAAATATTGAGAAAAAATAAATACTTGCTTTTGTATCATGATAAATACCAAAATATTTCTATATACAAGATATCACATTCACTGTTATTTTTAATTAATAAATTTATACATCAATGAAATAGTTGTCGAATATAGAAAACTTTTTCTTTATTAAAGTAAAAACGTTTTCTTCGTTAAATTACCTTCCTGCGCTGCATGGAAGTCGGAATTTTTGCGGTCGCATTGTATATTTGTTTGGCAACTTAAAGGTTATGTTATTGCATGCTATAGTTATAAGATAGCAGCGCACAATGCAATGTAATGAAGTACATTTGCAACAGGTTATAAACTTTATTAAAAAATTGCAGAAACATGAATAAATGTAATTTTTCTGTATTAAGCAATTTATTATTTAGCAATATCTTTTTGCATAATCTTAACTTTTTTAAAATAAATGTATTTAAGTGAAGGTTGTTATAATTCCTAGTAACACCAGGAAATAAATTTTCTTAATCACACTAGAAAAAATATTTAGTTATTTACAATTGGCCATTAAATAATTTAAATGATTGGGATTTTTTCTTTATGGTATATCTAGTTACACTATCGTTTGCGTAAGGTGTCAAACATTATTATCGATTTGAAACAGTGGACGGACTTCATACAATTCGATTGTTTATTGGCTCATCGCTTGGAGGTAGTGAAATAGCTATTTGGATGACAATTTCATCAGCTCCATATTCATTAGCTAAGGAGAGAGCTATAATCTCATAAGCGAATATTAATTTAATGCAGTCGTAGGAGGTTGTCTGGTTTTCGTTACAATATGGTATTAACGAAGGAATATCGCATATGTATGCCGCTTACTACAGGGGAGGTAAATCTTTCTGAATTTTTAATGTTAATTGTTACTACAGCTTTGCATAAATATTCCTTCCATATACAGGTATTAGAAATTTTCGTTTTTAACATTCCGTTATAATTTTTTACTCTGTCAGTTAATATTTTCTCATAATTCTTGATTAAGCACAATTAGAACTTTGGTTCACTTCAGTTGAATTAAAGAATTTCAATTATTGATTATATTCTTTGTAGTATCGGATAGGGCAACTTTATATGATTGCTAGACACAGTCATGAGCAATCAGATAATGATGAAGGTGTTGAGGTTGTTGAAAATGTGGAGTGTGATGATCCAGAACATGGAAAGGGTCAATATACAGAGAAGCGAATCCATCTATCTAGGTAATTTTCATGGCATCACTTATATCTCTAAATTCAGACTATTGTGGAGGTTGATGCATCATATTTGTTATATTAAATTACAGTAAATTGCCATATTGGATTCAATCTCTCATTCCTCGAATATTTTATGTCACAGAGAAGGCATGGAATTATTATCCCTTTACTGTCACAGGTATATTAAAATATAGTTAATATTTCATCAAATAGAATCCAAAAATGTCTCTTTCTAGCTAATAATGTGGCTTTTTTTCATGTTACTTATGGTCTACTAAGAATACACTGTAAGTATAAAAATTGTAGCTTTATGTAAGGTTTCTTGTTACATAAAATTTTACTTTTTAGTGTTCTTTTATTCCAAAATTGTACATCTCAATAAAAACGCGATATGAGGATAACAATGGATCTACAGAAAATGTATGTAAATGAGTTTTATATGTAAATAGAATCAGTTCTGTTACATATAATGTCATTAAAACAGTGTTTAGGTCTGTCTCCTATTGAATTGATTCATCGTGAGGTTGATTTTGTGGACATTGCGTATGACGAATTATCCGCGAAACACTATAAAGAGGAGGAGGTATTGTTATTATTATAACACCTAGGTCTTGATTTAGAAATTTACATTCATGAATATCTTTGCTTTAGGACCCAAAATTCTTTAAATCTCAACGAACTGGTCGTGGGCCATTGGTAGAAGGGTGGAAAGGCACTACACAGCCTATAATGTGTTCTTACAAGCTAGTTCAAGCTTCTTTTGAAGTGTGGGGTATGCAAACTCGAGTGGAAGACTTCATTCATAGAGTAATTTGTTTATAAATATTCATAGAGTACTTGAATTACGAAATTTACAACTGTAATGATGTTATTCTTACATCTGCAGTGTATTAGAGATATTTTATTATTGGGTCATCGTCAAGCATTTGCATGGATTGATGAATGGTATGACATGACACTGGAGGATGTTCGACAGTACGAACAAAAGATGCAAGCTGAAACTAATGAGAAAGTGCGACTCAGAAATATGAATAACGAGAAACCACCAACACCAACCACACCAACTTCATCAATGCCGTCTTCACCATTACCCAAATCTCCTACACAGTCCACTCGATCATGGTTCTCTTGGTCTTAGCCATATTGTTAGAGTAATCAACTTATCTAGGGAACGTAATTATGATTGTGCAAATAAATATCAGCACTTTCGATTCTGTGTGTGTATATATATACATATATATATATGTATGTATGTATGTATATATATGTATATGTATGTACATTATAGCCAGGTACCTGCAACAGGATTTGCGAACCAGAGTTCCTGATCTGTTTTTCTTTTCTAGATCATTTTTCTGCAATATTGTCAAACAAAGAATATCTATCGTCTACGCAATGTTGAATATTTTTATAGTTTATTCATGTCTATGCTAATCAGTTTAGGACTAGCTGAAAGTAGTATTTTAAAAAGTGCAGGTTTCCCGCAAACTTATGTTAACTTTAGTATTTGTTCTCCTTTATAACATTCATTGCAGATTATATTGTTGTATTTTAAGTTAAAGATATTTATAAAGTCATTTTATCAAGGCAGGAAGTAAAGATATCAGGAGTAGTTCTTGAATCATTGTAAATGTCGTAAAAGTAGTAGCGAAACTTAGACCTAGTTAGGGAAGGCACCATGGTACATCCAAAGTGGATACTTATTGGTATTATATACACACCGGCTTAAGCTATATTGATGTGTGAAATACTGTAAAGATCAGTGATTAGTGTTTAACATAAGAATTATTAATTGTCATAGCAGATTGTATACTATGCTATGTGTATACTATTTCTTGATCCAATTACGAACTCTCACGGCACTAATGAATTGTGTTCTTTTTTTGATTTAATAATGAGGTTTATATTAACTTAAAGATAGCTATAGTATTTTTTCTAATTGAATAGCAGGTTGTACATACAGAATTATCTGAGGTAGGATATTAATTCTACTTCTTGTAGGCTTTAAAAAGGACCAGGAGTATCTGTTTTTAATTTTGTGTTAGCATCTGAATTCTCTGCTGTTTCTAATTTATAATAATTATGTGCTGTCCAAAATTTTCTTGGGACCAAAACAGACCTTAAAACAAAAAGAGGTGGAAAGATACATACGCACAACAATTCACTTTTAATTTTTATATAAAATTAAAGCTTGAAACTACAGCTATACACATTTGCAATGTGCATTTTGTGCCGTGGAAAGAAAAATGTTCGATCTCATTGTTAAGAACCTTTTCATTGCTTAATTTCCATTGCTTATAGCATGTTTAAAATTGTGTTCTTTTTTAAAAGGGTACTCACTGCAGAGCATTTAATTGCCTCTTTATTGTACGAATATGTATTTAAATAAACGTTTCAAGCTATTCTTTTCAGAAGATTCGTTATTTTATTGTTTAGTCTGTAAATTTACAACCAAGCAGCTACTTTAATACTTACAGTTTACAGTAAGTGTAATAAGTACATAACAGTTTGATGAGCAAAAAAGCCAGCTGAATAGCTTTCATACATTTCATACAGCTATGTTCACTCATTTTTACAAAACTACATAGCAGTACAATTACAATGTTTAAATTACATTAACACATTCAGTGCTACCCAAGCACCTCACATGGGTACGCTTTTTTAAGAATTATTAGTCAGAAATCAAATGAAGAACCTTAGTAATGATATTTGACTCAATATACTGTTTCTTAGGTTATTTATGTTCATATTGAAACACTAAAAAAGGAAAAAGAAATCAAATTGCGTCCGAATTATTTATTTACCCAACAATAGTTCCAAAATATTCAATTTCATTTTATACTTTTTTCATGGAGGGTGCAAATTAAATTGGTTTACGAAATAGGAAAATTTGCTGAAGTCAGGTATATTATTTGCAACTAAGTAACTGTCCGGATCAAAAGAGCGTCGCGAAGACATTCTGAACTTTTAATTATCTTCAAAATCGGCATGGAATTAATAAACTTTTATTTTTGACTGTGAGACTCGTTTCACACTACTCCAACCACTTACCCCTCTTACCTTGCTCCTTTATCTTATTCGTCCAGCAGTCGTACACAGAGTAGAACAAAATCAGTGGAGAGACCGCTTCGTAAGAGCCATTGATATCTTACTCACTGATATCTTTTTGTGGAAATTCTTTCTTTGGTGTTTTTTACTTATTGAAATTTTGAGTTTGTCACTGTTTTTTTAAATTGCTATTTATTTTTTGGTGTCTTTTAATTTTTATTAATTGTCGCAATGGTTTCTTTTTACCACGCCCCCTTCTCTATATCTTTTTGTTACCAGAATTCTTTTTAGCGCGTCTTCTCTTAATCATTGAAATTTTTTATTGTCCTCTCGTTATACCTCTTTCATCGTCTTCTTTTATTATTGGAATTTCATTTTTAGTACAATTTTTTATATTGCTTTTTTCTTCATCAACGACCTCCTTTTTGCTGGGTTCTTTTCTTTTTGGGTTCTTTTTCTTTTTCTTGCTTGGGTTTTTGTTTTTTCATTGATACTTGTGCTGCTTCTTTTTATCGTTAGCAATTTTCTATGGTATATGCTGTTTTTCTTTATTGTATGGATACATTCCGCACATTTTCTATAACAGAGAAAAATTATTTTCGAAATTGCTTCGATATGTACTATGATTTCTAATTTATTTGATTTTTAAATTTATACAATATATATAGTGCTCCTTCTCACGTAAACATATCATTTGCATCATTTTCTTTAAGTATTTCTTATTATAGATACTTCCTCCTTCCTTCCTTTTCCAGGAATTCCTTTCCTTAATTACTCAGTTTCATCGATTACTATTATTATATTCCCTTTACTACTTCACTTCATAACCACCATCAGTCTACCACCTTCTCCACTTGATTATTCCTCATCCTTGCACTCACTTCTCCAGCTACATATTACCTATCTTCATCTTTATTTCTCCTATATCCTATTCCTGCTTTAATATATCTTCTTCTTGGAAACTTCTTTCTTCACCAGTTTAATGCAATCACTATATGATACTTTTGATAATAACTTTTCTCCACGTAAATTATTGCAAGAAAGTATCTGATACCTATTCAAATAGAACTTAATTATGTTCGAATAATTTTTATAATAATAAAAAATATACAGGGTGAGCTAGTAAGAAAGGAATAACTTGTTATTGACTTTATCACAAGACTGAAATAAAATTTATTGTATTGAAATGCCTGATTAGGTGAATATAGTTTAATTTTTTAATACCTTATTATGTTTTTTGAGATGTTCAGATCACCTCGAATTTTATAAATGGCATCGTGTATATTTTATATTTTATACCATTAATTTTTTTATACCATATATTTTGTACCATTAGTCGATCCAGATGGACATTCTCTACAAACGAATATCAATCTATTAACTGGCCACCTACACGGTATTCCAATTTATGTGTATTACCCTTTGTTCGAACACTCTTCGGGGGTTGAATTTCGAAAAACACTTAAACACGTGTTTGATTATTTTAAAGGAGAAGGTCATGCCAAATTTCAAGCTTCTACCTTCAGTGGATATAGAGATACGGTTATGCTGTAAAAATATTTTACCACTTTTCTACCCCATCAGAGTTCGTATTTTCGAAAAATTTGTTTACACCCAAGCTTAATTTCACCCACATCATAAGAGAAGTATATTGGGCGCTCCAATACAATAAATTTTATTTCATACATTTTTTGAGTCAAGAGGTAATGAGTTATTTCAAGCGTTCATTCTTACTGTCTCACCTTCTATATATGTATATTTTTTAATAAATCTACAAAATAGAAATTTTTCTTTCTTAATGCTTCTAAATATTTTTTGACATAACATTATCAAATAATTTCAAAAATAAAATAATAGTACAAGTGTCCGAAATATAAAGTAAATAATAATAATAATATATGTCGTTATTATAATTATAACATATAAAATAATATATGTAATTATTTGTTGCTTGCTTTATGGAGAAGGTAGCGTACTTTTGGACAGCACTGTACAAGAGGTTGGCGAAACGTCGCACCGATTTAGAGAAATTTCGCTGTAACTTGCACGGTGATTGTTTTTCGAAAAAGAGATCAGTGAAAGCAATCATTTTCCCGATATATTCTCTGTTCTTTCTATCTTTTTTATTTCAATAGTAAAATAGTTCGCCCAAAGTCGATACTGTGTTCTATTGTAGCCGAATTTATCTCTAGAACCGTTAAATTTTTTGTTAATAAAATATAACCAATTAAACGATGCTTAAAAAAATTGGATTTAATTACCTTATTTCACTATTTTTTATTTTTATACATAAATTAATCTTGTTTATGAATTAATCTTTTTCAATTTTTGTAAATAACAAACTAAATACTCAATGAGTAATTTTCTGCCTGAAATAAATATAAGCACAAAATGTCCAATGCAACAATCGGTGGTCCAATTAGACTATATGGAAATTCTCAAATTTCAACATTTTCGAAGAAATTCTATTAATCTACCAAAGAACCGGAAACCATCTGAATATAAAAAAATAGTAATTGAACGTTCTTACTCAGTAAGTAAGTCTCAACAGCAAGATCGAAAAAGCCAGCTTAACCCTGTCGCGATCCTCGAATTAGCAAAAGCTTTATAATATCTTAAAGACATGTTTATCGTAAAAGACGAGGGGCTACTCATACGAATAACAATTTTTCCATATTGAACTCGAATCTGAAATATTTTCTAATAGGCAAAAATGGCCGACAGAATACACAGTTAAATACACACATAAAACACCAATCAATAGCAGAGAAGAATTGAAAAACCGTTTACGGGAAAAAGCTGCTGCCCATGTATCGTTCTATTTGAGGATCCCTGTGCACCTCGTTGCTCAGGCTGACCTACTTTTATTCGTGTAAGAAGGTTTGCTCGAGCATAGGGATATTTCGGCTAACATTTAATTGTCAATAACTAAAAAACAAAGCCGAAAACGCAATTTTTTTATTCTTGATTTTCATCTTATTTTAGCTTCAAGAATCCCCCTTAAATTTGTTTACATCCGTAGCCGATATTGTACAAATGTCCGCAACATTCAGCTTGCACATCTAATATTACAACGTAATAACTTGAGAAACTGTTAATAACCAAAGAAGAGCAATATATTCTTTTATGAAAACACTATAAAAAATAAGAGGATTGGTGATTATTATTATTATTATTGATGATATATATGATGCAATGTATTTTTGTTGCTGGTTGTATATATATTCAAAATACGTGACTTTCAAGTGAGATTGCACTGGTGTCCCAGTATTTTTGTGATCGACCGTAGTTAAATTAAATTTAGAAATGTCTTTCATCCTTAACCAGTTAACCACAGCTATAGTTAATCCTCCGTGCAAAGGGTAGAAGGATTTTCCTACTATAAACGATTATGTAAACGTTCGAGGCTGTTAAAAGCGTAACCACGCGGTAAGAAAGAGCTTCTGGCTCGCTTCTCACTGCGAAGGAAGAAAGAATAAGTTCCTCCCCCTTTTATCACGTGGCCATGGTGTGTCACGTGTTCTATGGGCCGCGTGAGGTCGACAGTGTCGACACCAGACACGTGAACAACCCAATCGAGGATATTGTATTTTCGGATTAATGGAAATTCACTCTGATCAACACTGTTCGTCCTACTATCTGAATTAATTAACGGCCTTCTACATCTGTTCCTCCTTCGTGTTTCGTAATCGGCAATCCATTTAATTAACATGTACCCTATCTGTCTTTTTGCGCCCTTGCGTTTGCGTAACCGGAATTATAACCAAGATAAGTTGAACTCGGTTCTTCGACAAGGTTGAAATCGTTTCCTTTTGTTTTTCTTTTATTTATTTATGCAATGTCACGTTAGCTTTCGAAACCATTATTATTATTGCATATTTATTTTACCCAGCCCCTCTCTTGTTATTACGTTAGGTTCTTTAATTTTCCTTGAAATCTACAGTTCACCTCGTACACAACAATCCATAAAATATAACATTTTTAACGATCGCTATTATGTTTTGCAGTGTCTTTACTTCTAAATTCGTAAGTAGGCAATTTCTTAAAAAAGAATTTCAAAAGATTCTTCTGTAAAAAAATTGAAATTATTTACTAAATAATTCCTGTAATTTATAATAGACGATATTTACCAAATATTCTATATACAATGTTTACTCTCTGTTTAATCTCTAACCTAATACAATGTGGAAACGACTTGCCACTGATTCCAAAAATTATATCATTTAAACGTCTTGAACATTTCAGGCAGAGTTCACTTGAAATGACTTAAATAGCCAACAGGAGGTCCATTGTTGGCCACAGGACGATTCACGTCACCGCAAGCCTCGTGGTTGCGTATAATTGGTTCGCGCGAATAAGGATCCACGCTGGCGCGAACGACTCTGTGGACAAATGGTGGAGGGGTTGAGGTGCGATTCCTTGCGCAACTAGACGCGTCTCCAGCCAGTTCGGAACAGTTACCGCGCGTACTTTGTCACGTTCGCGTCGGTTATCGTGAGTCCACAAGTCCACCGCGAGACTTGAACTGCTTTTCCTCAGTGATCCTGAGCATTTTGTCTTCGCTTCAAGACTCTTTTAATTCCTTGCATTGTATCACGGGTGAGGCTTGCAAATACTTTGAAATGTATTTTTATTTTTATATTATTTGTTTATAATTTATTACAATTGTTAGATAGCGAATTTTTAGATAAGTTAATACCGTTAAGAATACAATTAGAAAAATAGAACGTTTGTACGTATCAAATATTATAGAAATGTTTATATATTTTTTATGTATAGTTTGTATATACATCTTCATACTATATGCAATAATCTGCACTCTAAGTGATTTTGCATTTTCTAATTTTCTATGGATACATAAGAATCCGCAGTCCAATAATTGCTGATAGTTATACCATTTACTGAAATTAATCGTAGTTACGTTATTTACTTTGATTCTTCCATTACATTCGAAACGTGCTTTTGCAAGTATTCTTCAAGCGAATGTTTACTTTAAAATTTTGTACAATTAGTAATTTGTAAAATATAATATGATTCGTGTAAGGGTATTTTAAATACTTGTACAATTAGTTTCAATTATTTAATTTTCATTATTTATTATTAAGTATAAAATCGTTTGATTTCAAGTGATTTGAAATAATCGTTGATAGAATTTGGAGATGGGAAAATTTTGATAATTTTAATATCAAAAAAGTGTCAATAGAATTTTTGTCTTTGTAGTTGAGAATGGTGTACATGAGTGTTTGATCAAGCTTTTCGCTGATTCTTCCAAAAGTGACTAGGAGGAGATAAGTTCAAAGCTTTTTATTCGTAAAATTCTCTGCATAGTTTCTTGTTATAAATTTTTTTCTCGAAAGATTTTTGGATTGAAAGTTATTTAACATATTCTTTTACCGCTAAATTATTTAATAGTCAGATCTAATTCAGATCTGATATAGCTGTTGATCTGT